CCCCAACAGCCCCACCACAGAAATGGGAATCCACGGGTAAGCCATGGTCAAGGCTTCACATAGATTTTGCTGGCCCGGTACAAGGGCAAATGTTCCTTATAATTGTGGATGCATGGTCCAAATGGCTTGAGGTGGTGCACATGCGCTCAACCACGTCTACCGCTGTTGTACAGGCATTGCGCCGGTTGTTCGCAACCCATGGGTTGCCGGACACACTGGTCAGCGACAATGGCCCTCAGTTTGTGTCCGAGGAGTTTAGACAATTCCTCACAAACAATGGTATCCGGCAAATGACTGCAGCCCCGTTCCACCCAGCTTCGAATGGTCAGGCCGAACGGATGGTCCGCACGGCCAAAGAAGCCCTGGGACGATTGACAGAAGGGGATTGGAGTGTGAGGCTGGGGGCGTTCCTATTGCGCCAGCACACCACCCCATGTAGCACAACAGGTCGTAGCCCGGCCGAGCTACTGATGGGCAGGCGGCTAACCACCTGCTTAAACCGCCTTCACCCAGATTTAAATGAACAGCAAGAGGGGCGTACATCTCCTCAAACGAATGTGCGCATGTTTAGGGAAGGGGACAAGGTTTTTGCCCGTAATTACGCCAGCGGACACTTATGGGTCCCCGGAAAAATCTGTGGTTGTATAGGCTCTAGGATGTATACAGTGCTGTTGAATGATGGCAGAAGGTGGCGGCGCCACGTGGACCAATTAAGAAAGCGTTGGGCCAAGGACAGCGCTGACTCTCCGGCTGGGTCCTCAGAATTAGTGATTCAACCTCCCGCAATGGAGGGCAACGAAGAGTTGGCAGGTGTTTCGGGGCAATTCCCTGAGTCTGAAACAACAGACCCGGCCGTACAAGCGCCTGATTCAGGGTCTGTGGAGCCACAGTTGGAAGCCCCGCCAACTGAACCTATTGTACTTAGAAGGTCACAGCGTACACACAGACCTCCTGCATATTTGGCTGACTATGAGTGCAGCAATCTGTTTGAGTCTGCCTGACCGGCTTCGGATATATGTCTGAATGTAAATATGACTGTAAATGCGTGTCTTAACTTAGGGGGGAGGAATTGTTATGTACTGACAACATAACATGAATCGCTCAATACACTTCCCATGTTAAGCTTCGAGCCGGCCAAGGCTCCGACAGTACGAACAATCTATTGGTCGCTTCAAAACAGCGACCAATCACAGAGGAGCTGTTCCCTGAGCGGGAAGGACACTGATTCGCCCTTATCTATGCAATCTAATTGGTTGTTATGTAAATAGTAGGCGTGGCTATATTAGCCCGGTATGTTTAAAAGGAGCCCAGCTCCAATGTTAAGTTGTTCTGATTCCTGAATGCGTTTATGTGCTTGTTCGAATAAAGCTGAATCACTAGCTGAAATCACTCTACGGGTCTTTGTTAGCGCGATCTAACAGGTGTACAACATTTCTTTTCACATCTGGCCATTTTTGAAATGAAAAAAGAAAACTACACGCAGAAACCCTTTCCCGCTAAACCCCACATTGCAAGCAGAGGCTAGAGCTGTGGGCGGGCCCCAGATCTGCTGTGCATTGCATGAGCGGGAGTCAACTGTGTTTGTGGGGCAATTTCTGGGGCTGAAAGTGCAGCGAAATCTGGAATAATCTGATAACTAGTTGAGCTGTAGGCAGATTGATTTTAAGAGAAGTGGGGCAGGGGGAGATTCTAGTGTACAGTGGCCACTGTGGGATTCTTAAAACAGGAATAAAATTTGGAGTTATCTTGGGTACATAGTTAAAGCATGAATGTTTGGGGAGGGGCTGTGGCTCAGTGGTAGAACATCTGTTTGGCAAGCGGAAGGTCCCAGGTTTCGGTCTCCAGCATCTCCAGTTGAAAGGATCCGGCAATAGGTGATGAGAAAGACCTCTGCCTGAAAACCTGGAGGGCTGCTGCCAGTCTGAGTAGATAATACTGACCCTGATGGACCAAGGGTCTGATTCAGTATAAAGAAGAAGAGTTGGCTTTGTACCCCACCCTTCACTACCCAAAGGAGCATTTTACAGTCACCTTTCCCTTCCTCTTCTTGTACGCACCGCTTATGAAACACTTTGTACTCTGCCACTGACTAACAGTCAGTTTAACTTAGTAGGTGCACTTAACACTTCCATGGTGCATATGTTAAGTGTACCTTTGATGATTCTAATCACAGTAACTGAAATCAATCATGAACATATATTCATTGTCGAAATGCATTCTGGGGAAAAATACGAAATGCTGACAGGCGGTAACTGACTGACCTTGCTTATAGTGGCCAGTTGTGATTGCGCATGTCCCTGATGTCAGCTTGCGCTTGCGTTAGATGAAGAACACACCACTGTGTACCCATATCTGCTCCATTAAGATACTTTTTGTTAACGTCACAGCCTGAAATAAGGCCTATTGTTCAACTAAAGGAGGTCCTACACTCCCCCCACAACAGGCACCTTGTGAGGTTGGTGGGGCCAAGAGAGTTCTGAGAGAGCCATGATTGACCCAAAGTCACCTAGCTGACCTCACATGGAGTGGGGAATCAAACCCGGTCCTCCAGATTAAAGTTTGTCACTCTTAACCATGAGCTTTTATTTATTAAATTTATATACCCTGCCCTCCCCACGAATGCGCTCAGGGCGGCTCACAAACATCACAAACAAGGGCACCGTGTGCCGGTACATAAAAACAGGGCACGCCTTAGTCCCTGATGGTTGCTCCAGAGCAGTTAAACTGAAGGAAAGTCTGATTCAGGTGGGGTAGCCTTGTTGGTCTGAAGCCACAGAACAAAGTTTGAGTCTAGTGGCACCTTTAAGGCCAACCAAGTTTAATCCTGGTCATAAGCAATGTTCCCTCTAAGCTGTGGAGTCCTGTGAGCAAAAATTCTACCTTGTGAGCTACTGGCATTAAAGTTGTGAGCAAGCGATTTGACTGCTGCATAAATTAGTTTGCTCTGGAGCCATCCTTCCTGAGCGGAGGCAAAGATGTGTGAGCTGGAGGCTAAAAAACTGTGAGCTGGCTCACACTAACTCAGCTTAGAGGGGACACTGGTCATAAGCTTTTGTGTTCAGGCACACTTTAGTCCCTGGTCCATCGCTCCAGAACAGTTAACACCGAAGCAAAGTCTGATTCAGGTGGGGGCAGCCGTGTTGGCCTGAAGCGGCAGAACAAGGTTTGAGACCTTTGAGATCAACCAAATTTAATCCTGGGTCTCAGTTTATCTACCCAGAATTAAACTTGGTTTAGCCCCAGCATTAAACTCGGTCGGTCTTAAAGGTGCAAAACTGTTCTTGAAGGGAAGTCCATGGCCATGGGTGATGAGGGGACACATGGCCCGCGCGGGCGGGGGCCGCTCCGGATTAAAGCCCGGCGGGCTCGAGGAGAAGGGGGGCCCAATAATCCGGAGCCATGAAGCCGGGTCGCGCCGCCCCGCGCCGGGGAGCCTCCTCCAGGGCCCCGGCCGGCCTGCGGGGGCGCCCCGGGCCCGTCTCCTTCCAGACGCCGCCCGCCCAGTGAGGCCGAAGGGCCCGGCGCGGGAACAGGCGGCGGCAGGTAAGCGAGGCCGCGGCTCCCCCGGGGCCTTCCCTGAGGGAAACCGGCCGGCGGCCTCTCAGCCCGGCCGCGGGTCTGTTTGGTCGGGGGCGGGGGGACTGCCGGGGGGGCGCGCGGGAAGCCCCCTTCCCCTCCCTCCATCATGGCTTCAGCCGCCGCCTCGCTTCCCTTTCCTCGCTGGGTCGAGGGCAGTGTTCCCTCTCAGCTGAGTTAGTGTGAGCCAGCTCACAGGTTTTCAGCCTCCGGCTCACATGTTTTTCTCTTAGCTCAGGAAGGATATGGCTCTAGCGCAAACTTAATTTATGCAGCAGCCCAATTGCTGGCTCACAACTTTAATGCCGGCAGCTCACAAAGTAGAATTTTTGCTCACAGGACTCCACAGCTTAGAGGGAACATTGGTCGTGGGGACGAGGCGGCCTTTCGAGCAGGACGTTGCAGAGCCGGGAAAAGGACAGGGGAGGGAGGGCGACTGTAAGTGGCCGGTGGGCGTTGGCGCTCCTTCTTCCCCTAGGCCAGTGAACCTTTTAGAGACGGGGTGCCCAAGCTGCGACCCAAAACCCACTTATTGATCGCAAAGTGCCAACACGGCCATTTAACCTGAATACTGAGGTTTTACTTTAGAAAAAAAACAACTCATACATTAAGTTAAGATGATCCAAACAAAGTAAGGAAAGCAATCCCAAATGCTTTCATTTACTTAAAATTATTTGGCAGAGAATTCGACACTTTAATGACGGTCTGGGCCTGGCTGGGGCGATGGCACACATGCCCACAGAGAGGGCTCTGAGAGACACCTCTGGCACCCGTGCCACAGGTTCGCCACCACTGCCCTAGGAGGAAAGGCTGAAGAGCCTGGGGACCCCAGTGCTCCCTCTAGGCTGAGTCAGTGTGGGCTATCTACACAGCTTTTTAGCCTCAGATCTCACACATTTTTGCCTTGGCTCAGGAAGGGATGGGCTCCAGAGCAAATGCTCCCTCTGAGCTGTGGAGTCCTGAGAGCAAAAATCCTACTTTGTGAGCCACTGGCATTAACGTTGTGAGCAGGCGATTGGGCTGCTGCATGAATTTAGTTTTCTCCGGATGCAGTGTTCCCTCTAGGCTGAGTTAAGTGTGAGCTAGCTCATAGTTTTTTAGCCTCCGTCTCTCACATTTTTATCTTAGCTCAGGAAGGATGGGGACCAGAGCAAATTAGTTTATGCAGTAGCCAAATCGCTCGCTCACCGCTTTAATGCCAGTAGCTCACGAAGTAGAATTTTTGCTCACAAGGCTCCACAGCTTAGAGGGAGCATTGCTCCGGAGCCGTCCTTCCTGAGCGGACGAAAGTGTGAGCCGGAGGCTAAAAAGACTGTGAGCTAGCTCACACTGACTCAGCTGAGAGGGAACACTGCTCTAGAGCAAACTAGTTTATGCAGTAGTCCAGTCACCTGCTCACAGCTTTAATGCCAGTGGCTCGCAAAGTAGAACTTTTGCTCATGAGACTCCACAGCTTAGAGGGAGGATTGCCTGGGACTTTTCAGTTTGGAAAAGAGATTTGGGGGGGGGGGGATGACGATATGACAGAGGTTTTTTAAATTATGCATGGAGTGGAGACAGTTGACGAAGATAACTTTTTCTCCCTCTCCCCAGATATTAGGACTTCAGGGCATACGATGAAGCTGATGGGCAGTAGGTTCAGAACGGACAAAAGGAAATACTACTCTATACAGAACAAAGTTTGAGTCCAGTGGCACTTTTAAGACCAATCGAGTTTAATTCTGGGCAATGCTCCGTCTACGCTGTGGAGTCTTGTGAGCAAAAATCCTACTTTGTGAGCTACTGGCATTAAAGTGGTGAGCAAGGGATTTGGGTACTGCATATATTAGTTTGCTGTGGAGCCATCCTTCCTGAGCGAAGGCAAAAATGTGTGATCTGGAGGCTAAAAACCTGTGAGCTAGCTTACACTAACTCAGCTCGGAGGGAACACTGATTCTGGTATAAGCTTTTGTGTGCACGCACACTTCAAAGTGTGCCTGCACACGAAAGCTTGTACCCAGAATAAAACTTGGTTGGTCTTAGAGGTGCCACTGGACTCAAACTTTGTTTTGTTCGGAGAAGTGTGCCTGCACACAAACACTTATACCCAGAATAAAACCTTGCTGGCCTTAAAGGTGCCACTGGACTCAAACTTTGTTCTGTTGCTTCACATCAACACGGTGACCCACCTAAATCTAATTTACAGATTTAGTGATTAAAATGTGGAATTCGCTGCCAAGGGATGTAATGATGCCCACAGGAGCAAACAGCTTCAAAAGGGGATTAGATAGATTCATGGGGGGGGGTAAGTCTGTCAATGGCTACTAGCCATGGTGATGGAGGGGAACCTCCACATTCAGAGGCAGTCAACCTCTGAATCCCAGAGCCAGAAGGCAGCATCAAGGGAAGAAGGCCTCAACCTCTGTGCCCTGTTGTTGGCCATCCAGAGGAACTGGTTGGCTGCTGTATGAGTCTACATGGACCACTGATCCAATCCAGGAGGGCTGTTCTGATGTTCTTCTGTTCCGTGTGTGTGGGTGATTTATAAAAATATTTCCCCCACGGAAGGCCTCCCTCGTGGGATAGGAAGGGACAGACAACACCAGAGCTCCCTTTGCTCCTCCCCTTCCTTCAGACCTAGAGTGACTGAGTTATGGAACTCATTGCCACAAGATGTAGGGATGGTGCCTGGTTTGGTTGATTTGAAAGGGGGGGTTGGCTAATTTTGGAGCAGTCCAGTGATGGATGGGTGATCCTCCATGTTCAGTGGCAGTCAATTTCTGAATGTCACTTTCGAGGGGGGCAACAATAGGAGGCGGGTTTGGCATTTGTTTCTTACTTGTGCGTGTTGGGGGATGGAATAACTGTAAAATAGGATATTAGACTAGATGGACCATTGATCTCCTTCGACACAACTGTATTTATATTGTGCTCTGTCTGTCTGTCTATATCTATCAATCATCTATCTACCTACCTACTTACCCACTGTATTTACCCGCAAGGAAGAGGACTCTTAACATAAGGTGACCATCTTAAAACCGTTATATGTACACACACAGATTATTAGATAAAACTATAACTTGTTTTCTGGTGTAAGACAGTCTCCCTTTTTTGATGGCATACTTGTGAAAAAATGATGGCATACTTGTGAAAAAATACTTCCAATCTCTTTGTAGTCTGGTACATGAACCATTACACTATACTAGTTGTATCTATCCACCCCCCCCCCCAAGGCACTTGGGGTGGCACGCATGGTCTCTTCTCTGCATTTTTCCTCACCACAACCCAGCAAGATAGGCTGAGAGAAAGACTCATTGAGCCATTGTCACCCCCACAATATTGAGGCTATGGGGGAGGTCTGATCTAGGGGATCTCTGTGATTCAGGGCCTCTAGTGTAGTGGTTAAGTGTGCGGACTCTAATCTGGGAGAACCGGGTTTGATTCCCCACTCCTCCACTTGCAGCTGCTGGGTGACCTTGGGCAAGCCATAGTTCTGATAAGAGCTGTCCTTGAAAAAGAGCAGTTTCTGTCAGAGCTCTCTCAGCCCCACCTACCTCACAGGGTGTCTGTTGTGGGGAGGGGAAGGGAAAGGAGTTTGTAAGCTGCTCTGAGACACCTTTGGGTAGTGCAGGGTGGGATATAAATCCAATCTCCTCTTCTCTAGCTTTCCTTGGTACAGTCCTTATTACATTTCTATCCCTCCCTTCCTCCAGGGAGCTCAGAGCAGCATACTTTTATCCTCCACCACAACCTAGTAAAGTAGGTTAGGCTGAGACATAGTGAGTTGCCCAAAGTTACCCAGTAAACTTCACGGCTTTGCAGGATTTGAATCTGGATCTTCTCTGACACACTAATCGCCCCTGCCTGGTGCTCTTCTGTAGGTTTATCAAGCTGTCGCCCACCCGTCTTGTTTGAACCCACCAATATATATGCATGGGTCTGCCTCCGAACAACCTTGTCAGGTAGAATAGGCAAAGAGATTACAACTTGCTCAAAGCCACCCGGTGAGCTTTGGTGCTAGTGAATACCTGCTAGTGAATTTCTCCCCCCACCCCCCAGGTCCTTCTACTTCTATATATAATATCTCCCTTATTAAGTTTTTGTCCTTTCCTTCCTGGGTGTTTGAGAAGATGCATTTTCTCCACGACCGTACTGCGAGCTTTTTGGGATGAGTGTGTGACCCCCTCAGCTCAGGATTAACCATGAAGCAAAATAAGCACGTGCTTAGGGTCCCAAGGGAAGGAGGGGGATCATAGTGGTTTTTCCCCCCACTAGCTATCATGCCCTACACAGGGCCATGGTGGCTCAGAGGTTAAGATGCCGAGCTGCAGACGAGAAGGTCAGTAGTTTGGCAGTTCAAGACCCAAGTGCCGCGTGACGGAGTGAGCTCCCGTCTCTGGCCCCAGCTCCTGCCAACCTAGCAGTTCGAAAGGAAGACATTGCAAGTAGAGAAATAGGTACCGCTTTGGTAGGAAGGTAACCGCGTTCCGTGCACCTCTGCATTTAGTCATGCTGGCCACATGACCATGGAGAAGTCTTCGGACAGCGCTGGCTCTTCAGCTTGGAAACAGATGAGCACTGCCACCTAGAGCCAGATTCAACTGGCTTTCGAGCAAGGGAAAGCTTTACCTTATCATGCCCTATAAGTAAATAATTTGCTTATATTGCTTACTGCTATTTAATGTTAAATAAATGATTTTTTAAAAGTTTATATTCAGTATAGTTGTGGGGTCTGGCCTAGGGGATGACCTGGAAGGAAACTGAATTTTTAATCTCCTATTTCACCTTCAGCACTTCTTGCGTCCTAATGTCTTGTCAGTTAAGCAATGGAAGGGCTGAGGGGCACCCTTGTTGGGCTGTGTTCAGGGCATCAGGTGGCCTGAATCCGGCCCTGGACCGCTTATGCCGGCTGATTTTGATTTTCCACCTATTTCCCCCTCTCCTCTTTTATCCGTACAGCTGAACTGAAGGGCCCGAGAATGGGATTCATGACTTCCATGGACACTGAAACTGAATCTTGAAAATTTGCCCACTGGATTTCTAAAAGCGTGAGTGGAGACCTGATTCAAGAGTGTCTATGAATTCATCACTGCCGCCCTCCACTTCTCCCCAGGTAAGAAAACAAAATAAAATCCTTGTTAGGATATAAATTGGGTTTTGCCCAGTTTTGTAAATGGATGAGTCTGATGTAGACATTTTTTTGGAAACAAGACTGAAGAGGAGGGCAGGGAGCTGTTCCTGTTGGCAGCGGAGGAGAGGACTCGCAAGAATGGGTTTAAATTAAGGGCAGGGAAGGTCCCGGCTGGATCTCAGGGAAAACCTTTTGGCAGTCAGAGTTGTGCAGGAGTGGAATCGGCTGCCTGGGGAGGTGGTGAGCTCCCCCTCACTGGCCGTCTTTAAGCAGCGGCTGGACAAGCCCTTGTTAGGGGTGCCCTAGCCCAGGGGTGGTCAAACTGTGGCTCGGGAGCTGTTTATTGTAGTGGTTAAGTGCACGGTTTGGTGTAGTGGTTAAGTGCGCGGACTCTAATCTGGGAGAACCGGGTTTGATTCCCCACTCCTCCACTTGCACCTGGCTGGATGACCTTGGGCAAGCCATAGTTCTGACAAGAGCTGTCCTTGAAAAAGAGCAGTTTCTGCCAGAGCTCTCTCAGCCCCAACTACTTCACAGGGTGTCTGTTGTGGGGAGGGGAAGGGTTTGGAGTTTGTCAGCCGCTCTGAGACACCTTTGGGTAGTGATGGGCAGGGTATAAATCCAATCTCTTCTTCTTCTTCTTCTTCTTCTTTCACACACATTGTGCGGCTCCCGCAAAAAAATATCACTGGACAAATAGATATCATTACCAATATCTGCTTTTACCACTCTTGTTATTATTTTTGGCAGTCTCATTTAATGTCAATAAAAAGCAAATTTGCATATTTCCCAGTAAAAACATGTAATGTTTGTTCATGTCTTGCGGCTCTCCAACATTTGACGTTTATTCTGTGTGGTTCTTACTTTAAGCAAGTTTGGCCATCCCCACTTTAGGCTGATCCTGCATTGGACAGCGGGTTGGACTAGAGAGCCTGTACGGTCCCTTCCAACTCTGTGATTCTATGATTCTGTTATTTAGGTTAAACTAGAATTCAGGTAGGTTGCGGAGTGCTGCTACATTCATTAGCTAAACCAGGGAGTCCCCAACGTGGTGCCCACGGGGGCCAGGGCTCCTGCCAACATCTCTTCTGGCGCCCACCAAGTGGGGAGGGCCAGATGGAGCTTTTTCCAAAAAAGGCTTCTCATCAGTTGTGCAGATTTTTTAAAAAATTCATTTCGGCAGCAGCTACCTCCACAGTACAAGGATCTTCACCAGGTGACTGAAGGTGAGCTGTGGCAGCCGTTTTGTGGCTGGCTGTGCCTCCTGCAGCAGCTATTTTGTGGCAGCCATTTTGCAGCTGCACCCCCCATGCTGTGTCAGGATTCCAAAGGTGCTCCCCCCCCCGGCTCAGAAAAGTTGGGGACCCCTGATCTAAGCCAAGGTTCTCTGCATGTTGGTCAAGTCCTAGAGACCTGTGCGTCTAGTTCCGTGTGCCCCGGAGGGTTTGAGGCGCATTTGTCACTCAGCAGCCTCAGCCGCGACCCGGCTCCTGAAACAAAGGCACTGTCCAAAATAAGTTTGAAATCTGGCACAAGGGTCTACTGTTTGACAAAAAGAAGTACCGCTTACTAGAGAGTCAGCTTGGTGTAGTGGTTAAGAGCAGTGGACTCTCATCTGGAGAACAGGGTTTGACTCCCCACTTCTCCAAATGACGACCACCATTGTGAGGAGAGGAAGGGAAGGCGGTTGTAAGTTGCTCCAAGGTGTGACCTTGGGTGAGTCAGATGTTCTTTCAGAGGTGTTCTCTCACGAGCAGTTCTTGAAAGAGCTCTCTCTGCCTCACCTACCTCACAGAGTGTCTGTTGTGGGGAGGGGAAGGGAAAGGAGATTGTAAGCCGCTCTGAGATTCCTTAGGGTAGTGAAGGGCGGGGTATAAATCTAACTCTTCCCTTCTTTGGTGTAGTGCTTTGGTGTAGTGGTTAAGTGTGCGGACTCTAATCTGGGAGAACCCGGTTTGATTCCCCACTCCTCCACTTGCACCTGCTGATGTGACCTTGGGTCAGTCACAAGCTTTGGCACAGCTGTCCTTGAAAAAGAGCAGTTTCTGTTAGCGCTCTCTCAGCCCCACCCACCTCACAGGGTGTCTGTTGTGGGGAGGGGGAGGGAATGGAGTTTGTAAGACCCTCTGAGACTCCAAGTGAAGGGTGGGGTATAAATCCAATCTCTTCTTCTTCTTCTCTTCTTCTTCTCCTTCTCCTTTTTCTTTTCCTTCTCCTTTTCCTCCTCCCTTGGTATTCCTGTTTTTTTAAATTCCTGGTTCATTCTAAACTAATCACAGTTCTCCCAAGTCCGTGGGTCTGAACATTCTGGTTTCTGAGATTTTAATGGGAACAGTTTACATTTTTTTTTTTTAGAAATGCTGTGTATTTCATCCAGATAGTGCTGTAATGACATTCTATTTCCTGATCTGATAGAATCGCTGTATGTTCTCCCCCCCCCCTAGAATTTCCACTCTGAACCGAGCATCATTATTCAGAAACAGAGTAAAGAACTGCAGCTGTTAATGGCAGAACTGAAAGATCGTGATAAAGAGCTCAACGAAATGGTTGCGGTGCATCAGAGGCAGCTGCTGGCTTGGGAGAAGGATCGTCAAAAGACCCTGACTTTGGCGGAACGATGTAACAGTACGGAGAGTGAGTGCCATCCAGAGCGCAGACCGAGGAGTCAAGCTGCTGGAATGCTACTGTATTGTGGATTGAGGGGGCTGAGGCAGAGAATCCCTTGTCTGCTTCCAGCCAGTGAGCAGAGCGGAGGAGAGAGTGGAACCCAAGACTTTCTGGGCCAAAATTAGTCCCCTAACCCATTATCCTACACTAGATTACATGATAAACCACGGTTTGCAAACCCTGGTTTGATCAAACCCAAGTTAGAATTGGCATCTGAATGCAGGTGGCCCAGTAAGGCAGGGTTTGATGGTTGGCACCAAACTGGGATTTCAAATTAGGGTTTGTCGCTTGTTAACCATGTTGTGTACTAACACAAGAACGTAAGAGAAGCCATTGTTGGATCAGGCCAGTGGCCCATCCAGTCCAACACTTTGTGTCACAGTAGCCCAAACCCAGGTGCCATCAGGAGGTCCACTAGCAAGGCCAGAGCTCCAGAAGCCCTCCCACTGTTGCCATCCCCTAGGCACCAAGAAGACAGAGCATCACTGCCCCAGACATAAAAACATAAGAGAAGCCATGCTGGATCAGGCCAGTGGCCCATCCAGTCCAGCACTCTGTGTCACACAGTGGCCAAAACCCAGGTGCCCTCAGGAGGTCCACCAGTAGGGGCCAGAGCTCCAGAAGCCCTCCAACTCTTGCCCCCCCAAGCACCAAGAACAAAGAGCATCACTGACCCCGACAGAGTGCTCCATCTATACCTTGTGGCGAATAGCCACCGATGGGTCTTTGCTCCATGTGTTTATCCAATCCCCTCTTGAAGCTATCCGTTAGAACATAAGAGAAGCCATGTTGGATCAGGCCAACAAACAGTGGCTTGTTGGGATGTCAGAATTCATAAACTGTCGTCGGTTGAGTAGCACCACCTGTTGCAGGCACCGGGCCACGGTGGAGAAAAGACAAAAGAGAGACAAGGTGGTATTTTCTGCATCAGTCAGGATTTATTACTGACATGAGGTAGACTAACCAGAGTTTGTTACACAAACATTGGTTCAAACAAAGCCCAGTTGATCATGATGTTTACATGCAACCTGGCTTAGTGTACACAGCATTTGCTCTTTCCAGGAACTGTTTCAGGACAGAAGAGAGTAAATAAATGTGAAATGACTGCATCATCTTCAAAAGGGCCACATTAAATTTATTCTTAAATGGTTGGGTGCAATTTTTAAAGGGCGTCAGCGATCAGAAAGCTGTGGTGGTGGTGGGGCAGGGAGGGGAGTAGTCTCTTGGCTGGCTGCACAAATAGCGACCGACAACAGAACGGAGGTATCACTTGAATTGGAAAGGCGTGGCAATGCTGGAATGTTGGAGGCGACAGAAAAGGTGGAATCTTGAAAGAGAGAGAGCGACGGCATTTCCTAAGAGGACCGATAGCATACAGAAGAGATCGCTGCCTTCAGAAACGGCCATCTATTTTTGCCCCAGAATAATTTAATATAATGCGTGTCTTTATGTGTGGACTGCTGAATAAAAGGCCCCTCTGTTCCAGTAACCATTTGCAAATGGCCAAACTGTGCAGTTGAGAAGGGAAGGAAAATGTCTGGTGACTAGTGTTGAGGAATACCTGGAGATTTTGGGGGTGGAGCCTGTGGAGGGCGGGGTTTGGGGAGAGGAGGGACTTCCGTGGGGCAGAATGCCCTAGAATCCGCCTTCCATAGCAGCCGTTTTCCTTAGGTGAGCTGATTTTTGTTGCCTGGAGATGAGATGTAATCCCAGTTCTCCAGCCTCCAAATGGAGGTTGGCAGCCCTACAGATAACAGTTTTGAGGACTGCCGTGGGATTACTCTGGGACTTGCAGCTGCTGGATGACCTTGGGCCAGTCACAAGTTTTGTCAGAGCTGTTCTCTCAAGGACAGTTCTGGAAAGAGCTCTCTCAGCCCCACCTACCTCACAGGGTGTCTGTTGTGGGGAGGGGAAGGGAAAGGAGTTTGTAAGCCACTCTGAGTGAAGGGTGGGGTATAAATCCAATCTCCTTCTCCTCCTTATTATTATTATTATTTCCTTTCTGGAATTCAGGTGCTGGTCCCCACAGACCCTTTCTGTTAATAGTGGCGCTTTCCTCAGCACAGGAGCCAGTTCGGTGAAGCAGATCCGGGGGATCTAGCCCAATATGCCCTTAAAAATAATGTTTGAAGCCTTAGCACCACACAGTGCTTCTCCGTGGGTTGCATCCATGTTTAAGTCAGCTGCTTTGCCCCAGATGACACTGGCTCTTTTCCCTCAGATGAGCTGCTCAAAAGGAGCGAGGTGATAACGAAGTTGACCAACAGGCTGAAGTGCCTGGAAAGCCAGAATAACGACTGGAAGAGGACTCTGGAGAGCACCCAGAGGGAGCTGCAGGACATCTCCCAGACAGCGTCCGACACGTCTCTTCACTGCCGAGCTCTTGAGGTAGGTTTCGCCTTGTATGCCCTGACTGCAAACGCCTCCTCTAGATCTGAATATGCCTGAGGCGGAAATCCCATGTCCAGCTTCTTAATCATCACTGTTGAGCTTCCTCCGTTTCAGTTTATAGTAAGAACATAAGAAGAGCCCTGCTGGATCAGACTTGTGGTCCATCTAGTCCAGCACCCTGTCTCACACAGTGGCCAACCAGCTTCTCTGGAGGGCCAACGACAGGGCAGAGAGGCTGAGGCCTTTCCCTGATAGGAACATCAGAAGAGTCCTGCTGGATCAGACCAGTGAGGGTCCATCTAGTCCAGCACTCTGTCTCACACAGTGGCCAACCAGCTTCTCTGGAGGGCCAACAACAGGGCAGAGAGGCCAAGGCCTTCCCCTGATAGGAACATCAGAAGAGTCCTGCTGGATCAGACCAGTGAGGGTCCATCTAGTCCAGCACCCTGTCTCACACAGTGGCCAACCAGTTCCTCTGGAGGGCCCACAACAGGGCAGAGGGGCCGAGGTCTTCTCCTGATAAGAACATGAGAAGAGCCCTGCTGGATCAGACCAGTGAGGGTCCATCTAGTCCAGCACCCTGTCTCACACAGGGGCCAGCCAGTTCCTCTGGATATCGAACAACAGCATAGAGGCTGAGGCCTTCCCCTGAGGTTGTCTTCTGGCTTTAGGATTCAGTGGATTAGTGCCTCTGAATGTGGAGGTTCCTCTCAGCCACCATGGTTAGTAGCCATAGATAGACTTGTCCTCCATGAATCTGTCTAATTCCCTTTTAAAGCTGTTTATTCCTGTGGCCATCACTACATCCCCTGGCAGCGAGTTCCACATTTTAATCACTCTCCGTGTAAAGTAGTGTGTCCTTTTGTCCATCCTGAGCCTACTGCCCCTCAGTTTCTTTGGGTGCCCTTGAGTTCTAGTATTTTGGGAGAGGGAGAAAAATTTAATTAAAAAATAGTTGGTTAAAAGTGTTCATATTACATTTCTCCCCAAAAGGAAGGCTGCCTGAGGAAACCTGCCTCTCTACCTTCCCATAACTCTCCACTCTCAGCTGGTTGGCCACGGCTGGTCTGTTTCAGTCAGATTTCCTGGGAGCGCTCAGACTGTGTTTAGTGCTACAAATTTTGAATCCAGTGGCACTTTTAGGGCTAAAAAGGTTTTCTTCAAGGTATGAGCTTTCGTGTGCGTGCACACTTTTTCAAATACATTGGAATGTTTTAGTGCTGATCATTTTCAAACATATTTCAAAGCCATTGGGTCAGCTCCTTACCACTTTGCTCCAAGTAAAATTCAGGACTGAAATATACAAGGGGGAAAAAATCACAAGCTCATGCTTCCCTAGCACCTCAATCTTCCAGCAATTTCTGTAATTCTACTGCTGAAGTCCCTGAAGAAGTAGAGGGAGAAGAGGTTAAAAGAGTGTGTTTGTGGGTAGGGAGAGACCTTACCAAAAAGGGTAAATAGAAATAATCTGTTTAACGACCAAGCAAAATTTTTCCAAGTCTCGAACAAACTAGCAATATGCTCACTCCTATCCTAATAAAAGTGTACCCCCCCACCTCCATCTATTGGCTCTCTTGCCTGGGAAAAGCTGGTTAATTTTTTTTTATGTAACTAAAAACACAAGAAGATTGAAATGGAACTGCACTCTCCTTACATAAGAACATAAGAAGAGTCCTACCGGATCAGACCAGTAGTCCATCTGTTCCAGCATCCTGTCTCACATAGGGGCCAACCAGTTCCTCTGGATGGCCAGCAACGGGGCATAGACGCCAAGGGCTTCCCCTGATGTTGCCTCCTGGCTCTGGGATTCAGAGGATTAGTGCCTCTGAAAGTGGAGGTTCCCCTCATTCACCATGGCTAGTAGCCACCGATAGACCTATCCTCCATGAATCTATTGAATCCCCTTTTAAAGCTGCTTACTCCTGTGGCCCTCACAACATCCTCTGGCAACAAATTTAACATTTTAGTCACTCTCTGTGTAAAGGATTTCCTTTTGTCCATTCTGAACCTACTGCCCACCAGCTCCATTGAATGTCTTCAGATCCATCTATCAACTTAGAAACCTGAGACAAGGAAACATTTGCCTCTGATGTATGCACTGAAAGAATGGAAAGAGATGCTGAACAGCCCCCCTTCTTTTAAGCATTTATATCCCACCTCTCTAGCAGAAAACTTCTAATTAAAAATGTAGAATGGCAGAGAAATAAAAGTGCAAGCAAGAAAAAAAACACTATTGGAATTAGTTGGCAGAATTTAAAAACAGCAGAAATAAAATCCAAATTCAAAACCAAGCGTTATAAACTTGAAGCAGCTGCAACCTAAGACAGATGCAATAAGCAAGTTAGACTACAGAGTATGTGGAGGAGGAGGAGGAGAAAAAGAAGAAGAAGAGATTGGATTTATACCCTGCCCTTCCCTACCCAAAGGAGTCTCAGAGCGGCTTACAAACTCCTTTCCCTTCCCCTCCCCACAACAGACACTCTGTGAGGTAGGCGGGGCTGAGAGAGCTCTTGACAGAAACTGCTCATCAGAGAACAGCTCTGAGAGAACTTGTGACTCACCCAAGGTCACGCCAGCAGATGCATGTGGAGGAGTGGGAAATCAAACCCGGTTCTCCCAGATTAGAATCCGCACTCCTAACCACGACACCAAACTAGCAAACCTTCTCTAAAAGCCTAGAGGAACAAACAAGTCTTTGCCTGATGGAGTGCTACCAAGACGACAGATCCACAGCCAGCGCACCGAGCGTCCAAAAGGAGAGCATTCCAAAACTGAGGCACCACTACAGAAGATGCCATCCAAACAAGGGGCGTGTGCAAATTCAGACTGAGTAGCTAGGAGCCATGCCCTCTCCTGGGTGGCCCAAGCTTGTCTGATCTCGTCAGGTCTTGGGAGCTAAGCAGATTCGGCCCTATTTAGTATTTGGATGGGAGGCCACCAAGGAAGTCCAGGGTCGCTACGTAGAGGAAGGCAATGGCGAACCTGCGTCAGTCTCTTGCCTCGAAAACCCTGTGGGGTCGTCATAAGCCAGGAGCCGACCTAGATTTCTTTCTCTCTTCAGACAGCTGCAAAGCTGACAAAGGTTCTGAGAGAGACACCTGCGTGTCCATGACGGTGTATTACTCTGAGGAGGAGTAAGAGGGGGGAGAGCTTGAGTCCAGTCCACTTGGACTGTTCTGGTGCGTTAAGATCGTCACTGGCCCCTTCTGCACTTTTCTTTTAATCCATGTTCACCACGGTGTCCTCCAAGCAATTCTGCACTAAAATCGAACTCAACTTTCTTTTTAATCCCCCCCCACACACACACACATTCTGTCCTAAAATCAAGTTCCACCTTCTTTTTATTCAGGGCTTCCCCCCACACTTTCTGCATTCCATTCCCTCCCTTCGGTGGTCAGGCCAGGTTCAGCCTACTGTTGCACCGCGGTTATTTGGATGCTGTTTTGCCGTGGATTTAAATTGCCTCGACTCGAACACTGAGAAAATCCGGAGTGGCAGGCAAATGCGGAAGGGACCACAGTGCTTACAGTACAGGGGACTTTGCGTTGAAACGGTAGCTCTCCGCCTTCCCCGTGGGCACCGATTGTGTGGGGTTGTCACGCCCCATTCTCATCCGTAAACAGGTTGAGTGTGAATACCGGCTTCTAATGTGTATGTACAGTTGGAAGGACAGGAAAGAGAATGCCCCCCAGAACTGGAACATAAGAACATAAGAGAAGCCAATGTTGGATCAGGCTAGTGGCCCATCCAGTCCAACACTCTTGTCACACAGGGGCCAAAAATACCAGTTGCCCTCAGAAGGTCCAGCAGTGGGGCCTGGACACTAGAAGCCCCTCCCTCTGTTGCCCCTCCCCCCAAGCACCAAGAATACAGAGCATCACCTGCCCCAGACTGAGAGTTCCCATCTAGACCCTGTGGCTAATAGCCACTGATGGACGTCTGCTCTATCTTGTTTATCCAATTCCCTCTTGAAGCTGTCCATGCTTGTAGCCACCTGTGGCAGTGAATTCCATGTGTTAATCACTCTCTGGGTGAAGAAGGACTTCTTTTTATCCGTTCTAACCCGTTGGTGGTGTTGTTCAGTCGCACAGTCGAGTCCGACTCTTCGCGACCCCATGGACAAGATCATGCCAGGCCCTCCTGTCTTCCACCATCCTCTGAAGTTTGCTTAGTTCTAACCCGACTGCTCAGCAATTTCATTGAGTGCCCGCGAGTTCTTGTATTGTGAGAAAGGGAGAAAAGTATGTCTTTCCCTACCTCCCAGGCATAATTTTGTAAACCTCAATCATGTCACCCCATAGCTGTCGTTTCTCCAAGCTAAAGAGCCCCAAGCGCTTTGACCTTTCTTCATAGGGAAAGTGTTGCAACCCTTTTATCATTCTAGTTGCCCTTTTAAGCTTCAGTATCCTTTTTGAGGTGTGGTGACCAGAACGGCCCCTTTTCCTTTCTGACTCTGAACCTTTCCCTTTCTGTTTCCTAGGAGAAGAACCAGGGTCTCAACTGTTCCATGATGGAACTCTCCAACAAAGTGGGGCACCTGGAAGCCAGGGAACAGGAGCTGCTGACCATGTTAAAGTTAAAGGTAATTTGATGTATCCCTTGTGAGCACCCGCTCTTTGTTTGCATCGGGAGAAGAAGGTGCCGGTCTGAAAAAGGGCGGAACTGAACGCTTCCCCCCCCCCACCTTCACGTCCCAAGCCTCTGGAAGAACAACAGCTAAGAGGAAGCGGTCACTGGGAGAGGGGGGTCCAGCTCCTGTTCTGTGCTTTTAAGAAAAGAAGAAGAGATTGGATTTATACCCCGCCCCTTCACTACCCAAAGGAGTCTCAGAGCGGCTGACAATCTCCTTTTCCTTCCCCCCCCCCCACAACAGACACCCTGGGAGGGAGGTGAGGCTGAGAGAGCTCTCCTGAGAACTGCTCCTGAGAGAACAGCTCTGAGAGAACTATGGCTTGCCCAAGGTCATCCATCAGGTGCATGTGGAGGGGCGGGGGAATCAAACCCGGTTCTCCCAGATTAGATTAGCCACTACACCAAACTGGCCTGCAGTGCGGTGCTTTAAATGACTTTGTAGGGATTGGGCGGCTGACCCAGTTCTTCCCTCCCGTCTGCTACCGTCCCATCTAGTTTCGCTGACATGCCCCTTTTTCACGGGCAGCGGCTAGAAAAGCTCTCTAATGGCTGCCACCACTCTGGTAGGGGTCTCCTTGGAGGGCCCGGAGCACACCCACCCGACCCCTCTAGACACTCCTTTCCCAGCAGGTTCCCCCTTATAAGGGACCGGATGAGGCGTGAGGACCCAGGCAGAGCAACAAATGACTTTTATTAAAGAGCTCTAACAATAACAGTAATTCAATAACATGTTTTGGCCTTTAAAGCCCTTTATGGTCCGGGACCTGCCTACCTGAGGGACCGCCTTTCCCCATATGTTCCCCAGAGAGCACTGAGGTCAGGGTTGCAAAATCGTTTGCGCCCCCCCCCCCCCGGTCCTAAGGACACCAGGCTGGTATTGACCAGGACCAGGGCGTTTTCTGTGGCGGCTCCAACGTACCATAATGAGCTTTCAAACGAGATCAGGGCGCCGTTCCACAGGGCCGCAAAAACGGAGCTCTTTCGCTTGGCATTTAGGTAAGGAGCTGTGTGACCATCTATGCCCTGTGCCAATTCTATTTCCAGCCTGAGCCCGCCGATAATGGACATACTGATGAATGCCCTTTAGCTATACCGCCATCGTCACGTAAATGGTTTTAATAATTTCTCTGTGTTTTATATTGATATTTATACTGTTGTGTTATCTACTGTTTCTTCTGTAAGCCGCCCTGAGCCTGCCTCGGGAGGGAGGGAGGGGTAAAAAAAATCAAATAAATACATGTAGGAAAAATGCGCACAGGAAAGGTAGATAAATCAGCAAAATAAGAAACCCTAACACATCTGACTGTACCATCCGTAGCCTTCTGTCGGTATTTGGCCTCAAGCCGACTCACTCCCTTTGGATTAGAAATGCCTCCATCAGCAGCAGCTTCACACTAGCTCTGCTCCCTGGGAGTGGACCCTCTCCCACTTTGGGGCAAGGCCTTTTATCCCTTCTTCCCAGGCAATCCCCTCTGCTATTCTATTGGTGTACGTTTTCCCTCCACACCCCCTGTTAGCCAATCACAGGATCCAAAGGGTGACCTGGGAGATGTAGGCCCTGATGGCTACTCTAGTACAGGCTTCCCTGGAGCCACTAGGCCTCCCTAGAGCCACTAGGCCACACTACTGTAGGCCTAGGATCAGGACACCCTTACAAAGTGGGAACATCCTGTCAGTCAGATGAGCACAGCCAAGATCTCAGCGAAGGGACTGCTTTGGAATCGATGGTTGTCCGGCGTTTGATAAAATCATCCTGTTTTGCATTCAGCATCCCCCCCCCCTTCACCACTCTGATCGACAGCATGATCACAGCCAGGCAGGCCTTCCGGAACTGTCCCTGCTGTGTGCCTTCCTCTGAAAACCGGAGGACCGGTCCAAATAACAGTGCTTCTCTCCAGCTGGTAATTGATGCTGTCAGAATCCCCCAGAAGTAGATTGCGGAGGCGCAGACAGCAGGAGGCCCAGGCCGCGAGAGAGTAAAACGGTTTCTTTTTGTCCTTTGCTTTCCTGGCTAGGATAAAGATATCCTTGAAGCGACCAATAATATCACTGAATTTACCTATAAATTCAAAATGTTAGAAAGTGCTCTGTGGGCAGCGAGGATGGAGGAGTCAAGCATCAGCAAGGAAAAGCAGGATTTTAAAGTCAGGCTGAAAGAACTGATGTTTGAAACCAGCAAGCTGAAAGGTAAGCAACGTCAGGCGCTTAGAATTTGGCCTGGAACCTGGACCAGCTGGCAACAGAGCACTTTGCTCATGTCCTTTTCCTGAAACCATCATACTGATTGGGCCGTCCAGGGATTAAAGACTTTGGTAGTGGAAAGTGCCTTTAAGTCACAGCTGACTTAGGGTGACCTTGTAGGGTTTTCCAGGCAAGAGACATTCGGAGGTAGAATCATAGAATGTTAGAGTTAGAAGGGACCTTGCAGGTCATCTAGTCCAACCCCCTGCACTCTGCAGGAGCAGAGGCGAAAGACTGCCCTACAACATACCCGAAAGATGGTCGTCCAGCCTCCGCTCGAAAACGTCCAGCGAAGGAGCATCCACCACGTCCCGAGGCAGTCCGTTCCACCGCTCAACCACTCTTACAGTTAGGAAGTTTCTCCTGATATTTAGCCGATATTGACTCCCTTGTAATTTCCGCCCATTAGATCTAGTTTTCCACCCATTAGATCTAGTTTGCCATTGCCTGCCTCTGTGACACGACCCTGGTATTCCTTGGAAGTCTCCCATCCAAATACTAACCGGGGCCGACCTTGCTTAGCTTCTGAGATCTGATGAGATCACTTGCCTGGGCCATCCAGATCAGAGCACCGTTTAGTCTTCCTTTAAAACAATCAAGTAAAATTTATTTAAATAGTGCGTATGATGCCATCTTGTCACAATGGGGGCATTCAAGACAGCTTGCAACCAATGTTCCCTCTAAGCTGTGGAATCTTGTGAGCAAAAATTCTACTTTGTGAGCTATTTGGCATTAAAGTTGTGAGCGAGCGATTTGGCTACTGTATAAATTAATTTGCTCTGAAGCCATCCTTCCTGAGCTAAGGCAAAAATGTGTGAGCCAGAGGCTAAAAAACTGTGAGCTGGCTCACACTAACTCAGCTTAGAGGGAATGCTGCTTGCAACATAGCCAGAAAACAGTGTAACACAATACAGAACCTTCTGAATAGCCGTAAAAAAGCACCAGCACTAAAACAGCAGTGAAAACCAAACGTTATTAATATCTGCAGCCCCAGAGGAAAGAGGGACCCATAAACAAAAATTCCCCAGATTTCAAAATAGGTGCCTTTTCCAAACAAGTTAGCATTTAACTACACAAAAAGAGAACAAGTAAAAGAACAACCACTCTGGATTGGAAGAGAAGAGTGTCTTTAGTTTTTTTTGGGGGGGAGTCCTTATTTTACATATTGTTTTAATTTATACAGTGGATTTGTGTCCTACATTTGGATTGTAGTTCCCAAAGTGGCTCGTGGCATTTGTAAAGCACAACGTCCTAGCTGAGAAAGTGGAGCGGAGTCTTTGGGAACATCCGCATGATCTTATCCGCTAATTGTCTGCTTTCCACGTTATCCTCTAATTGTCTACTTTCCATGTTTACCCCTGCTGTCCTGTGCCGTTTGCAAACCTGGTTAACATAAGAACATAAGAGACGCCAATGTTGGATCAGGCCAAAGGCCCATCCAGTCCAACACTCTGTGTCACACAGTGGCCAGAAATACCAGTGCCATCAGGAGGTCCAGCAGTGGGGCCAGGACATTAGAAGCCCTCCCACTGTTGACCCCCCCCCCAAGCACCAAGAAGACAGAGCATCACTTGCCCCAGAGCCCCTAGCTATACCTTGTGGCTAATAGCCACTGATGGACCTCTGCTCCATATGCTTATCTAATTCCCTTTTGAAGCCGTCCATGCTTGTAGCACCCACCACTTCCTGTGGCAGTGAATTCCATGTGTTAATCACTCTTTGGGTGAAGAAGTACTTCCTTTTATCCGTTCTAACCCGACCGCTCTGCAGTTTCATGGAGTGCCCACGAGTTCTTGTATTGTGAGAAAGGGAGAAAAGTACCTCTTTCTCTACCTGCTCTTTCCCATGCATAATCTTATAAACCTCGATCATGTCACCCCTCAGTCGTCTTTTCTCCAAGCTAAAGAGCCCTAAGCGCTTTAACCTTTCCTCATAGGGAAAGTGTTCCAACCCTTTTATCATTCGAGTTGCCCTTTTCTGCACTTTTTCCAAAGCTATAATATCCTTTTTAAGGTGTGGTGCCCAGAACTGCACACAGTATTCCAAATGAGGTCTCACCATTGATTTATATAGGGGCATTATTATATTGGCTGATCTGTTTTCAATACCCTTCCTAATAATCCCCAGCATAGCATTGGCCTTCTTTATTGCAGTCACACACTGTCTCGACATTTTCAGTGAGTTATCCACTACAACTCCAAGATCTCTCTCTTGCTCAGTCTCTGCCAGTTCAGACCCCATCAATGTGTATTTATATTTAGGATTTTTGGCTCCAATGTGCATCACCTTGCACTTGGCCACATTGAACCCCATTTGCCATGTTGACGCCCACTCGCCCATCCTTGACAGATCCCCTTGGAGTGCCTCACAATCCTCACTGGTTTTCACCACCCTGAACAACTTTGTATCATCCGCAAATTTAGCCACTTCACTGCTTACTCCCATCTCCAAATCATTAATGAACAAGTTAAAAAGCAGTGGACCAAGTACTGATCCCTGCGGTACCCCACTGCTTACCACCCTCCACTGAGAAAATTGCCCACCTACACTCACTCTCTGTTTTCTATGAACTAGCCAGTTTTTGATCCATAAAAGGACTTGTCCTTCTATCCCATGATTTTTGAGCTTACTTAGGAGCCTTTGATGAGGAACTTTATCAAAAGCTTTCTGGAAGTCAAGGTAAATAATATCTATTGGATCCCCCTTGTCCACATGTTTGTTCACCCCCTCAAAGAACACTAACAGGTTAGTGAGACAAGATCTTCCCTTACAGAAACCGTGCTGAGTCTGCCTCAATAGGTTTTGTTCATCTATGTGCCTACTAATTCTTTCCTTAATAATGGTTTCCACCAATTTACCCGGTATCGACGTCAGACTGACTGGCCTGTAATTTCCCGGATCTCCTCTGGAACCCTTTTTAAAGATGGGAGTGACATTAGCTACCTTCCAATCCTCAGGAATGGAGGCAGATTTTAAGGAAAGATTACATATCTTTGTCAGGAGATCTACAAGTTCACATTTGAGTTCTTTCAGAACTCTCGGATGTATGCCATCTGGGCCTGGTGATTTTTCAGTTTTTAAGTTGTCTATCAGTTTTAGGACCTCCTCTCTCATCACCTCAATCTGACTCAGGTCTTCCAACACCCCTCCTGAAATCAGTGGTTCTGGAGTGGGCAAGCACTTCTCATCTTCCACAGTGAAGACGGAGGCAAAAAATGCATTTAGCTTCTCAGCCATTTCCCTATCATCCTTCAATACTCCTTTTACCCCTTGGTCGTCCAAGGGCCCCACTGCCTCCCTGGCTGGTTTCCTGTTTCTAATGTATTTGAAGAAAGTTTTATTGTTGGTTTTTACGTTTTTTGCTATATGCTCCTCATATTCCCTTTTTGCCTGCCTGACCTCAGACTTGCATTTTATTTGCCATAGCCTGTGTTCCGTTTTATCAGCCTCACTGTGACTAGCTTTCCACTGCTTAAAGGAATTCTTTTTACTTTTTACAGCCTCCATTACTCTGTTTGTTAACCATGCAGGCTTTTTCCTATACCTGTTTGTGCCTTTCCTAACCTGCGGAATATATATTTTTTGAGCTTCTAGGATCGTAGTTTTAAATAGATCCCAAGCTTCCCCAATTGTTTTGACCCTTTCTACTTTTCCTTTCAGTTTCCTCCCCACGTGTCCCCTCATATCAGAGAAATTACCCCTTTTAAAGTTAAAAATGGTTGTGTGAGTCTTTTTGGCCAATTCTCTATTTGTACAAATGATGAACTCAACAACATTATGATCACTGTTTCCAAGCGGTGCAATCACTTTTACATCTCTCACCAGGTCTTGAGTGTTACTTAGGACCAAATCAAGGATCGCCTCTCCCCTGGTAGGTTCCGTGACCATCTGCTCCATAGCACAGTCATTTAGAGTGTCTAGAAACTCAATCTCTTTTTCCCGACTAGAACACATATTGACCCAATCAATGTGTGGGTAGTTAAAATCACCTATTATTACACAGTGTTTTTGTCTAGTTGCTATCTTTAAGGCATTCATCATTTTATAATCCTCCTCTATCTTTTGATCTGGTGGGCGATAACAAACTCCCAGTGTTAAGTTTCCTTTTGGCCCCCCTATTTCAACCCATAGAACTTCCAGAAGCGAATCCAATTCACTTAGCCTCTCAATCTTTCTAGACTTTATACCCTCTCTGACATACAGAGCTACCCCACCTCCAACCCTTCCCCCCCTATCCTTCCGATATAATATATAACCGGGAATCACTGTGTCCCACTGATTTTCCTCATCCCACCAAGTTTCAGAAATACCCACAATGTCTATTTTTCCCTCCGACACCAAGCACTCCAACTCCCCGATTTTACCTCGGACACTTCTAGCATTTGTATAGAAACAGCTGTAATTTCCCTTACAAGTTAAGCCTGCATCCTTCCTCTTGCTATCTCGAGTCGTTGTCCGGCAGTCCATGTCACCAGCCATGGCCTCTGTGGACAATTTCAATCCACCTCCCTGTAGAAAAGCAACCGGTACCCCCTCACCTCTCTCAGATGAGCCAACCCGAACCAGAGACTTTTCATCTCCTGTCGGCTTTCCCCCAATATTCAGTTTAAAAGCTGCTCTGCCACCTTTTTGATTTTAAGTGCCAGCAGCCTGGTTCCTTCTCGGGACAAGTGGAGACCGTCTCGCCTGTACAGCTCCCTCTTGTTCCAAAAAGTATCCCAGTGCCTAACAAACCTGAACCCTTCCCCCCTACACCATCGTCTCATCCACGCATTGAGACTCCTGATCTCTGCCTGTCTCTCCGGCCCTGCGCGTGGAACAGGTAACACTTCTGAGAAGGCTACCTTGGAGGTCCTGGACCTAAGTTTCCTGCCCAGCAGCCTAAATTTCTCCTCCAGGACCTCACGACTGCATTTCCCCACATCGTTGGTGCCGACATGCACCACGACCACTGGCTCCTCCCCAGCACTATCTACCAGCCTATCTAAAACACGCGTAATGTCCGCTACCTTCGCACCAGGCAGGCAAGTCACCATACGGTCAGTACGCGGGTTCGCCACCCAGCTGTCTACCTGCCTAAGGATCGAATCACCCACTACCAAGAGCCCCCCTCCCACCCTGCTCAGGGATGGTTCCTTGGTGCAAAAGGAGAGCCGCTCACCAGCTGGGGAAGAGGTCCCTTCTGAGGGCACATTCCCCTTATCCTCAGCATGGTGCCCTGTTTCCCCTAGACCCTCATGCTCCCTGACAGCAGCGGGGCTGCCAGATCCAGAGTGGGACGAAGCTAACAAGTCCCCGAGAGTCTTTTCTGTGTGCCTAGCTGACTGTCTCTGCTTCTCCAGGTCAGCCACCTTGGCCTCAAGGGAGCACACACGTTCCCTGAGAACCAGGAGCTCCTTGCACCGAGGACACACCCAAGACTTCTGCCCAGTGGGCAGATAGTCATACATGTGACACTCCGTGCAAAACACTGGATAGCCCCCAACCCCCTGCTGGCATTCTGGCTTCATAATTCTTTTAAAATAAATAAATATAATCCCCCTTTTAAACCCTTGGTATTTATGTGGGTTTTGTTATCAAGTCAAATTATTTTACGGGAAAGACAAAGAGCCTAGGGCCTTGTCTTTCTGGCTCTTTTTGGGCTTCTTACAGCGCCCCTAGTCTAAGAGTCCCTAGGCTAAGAGCCACAGGCAAAGAGCCCTTTAGCTCACCCTTCGGCTCGTGCCAGAGGCTCGTGCCTCTGCCAAGGTGCTTCCTTAAATAGAGGCCTCCCCCAGCAGAGGTCAGGCAGCAGCTATTCAAATTCAAATTCACCCAGGCACTCAATCACAGGCAAAACAATGCCCCTTCCACTTCCTCTCAATTACAGGCAATCCCAGTCAAACAATGCCCGTTCCTCTCCCACACTCAATCAGCCAGGACTCTGCAAGAACTCTAAGTGCTTCCACACACTGCTAAACACAGTTTTCCCACAAAATATCCTTAGCTGAATTCTCTCAGCTGAAAGCAAGTAAAAGAAACCCACTCACCTCTCTCACAGCTCTCTCTCCTGCTCCTGCTCAGAGCTCAGCTGGTTGGGCACGACCTTTTTGCAAAGACCACAATCAAATTGTCTTTGGATGCCTTGTGCATGAGAAGGTGATCCTGCCCATATTGGCATAATTTCCCTTCTGATCCCACCCCCTCCAACAACCACCATTTCTCCCTGATACTAGAGGACTTTCACAAGTTTTTAAAAATTCAGCAATTGACATATCATTTTGGCTTTGCAACATTATAAAGCGATCTGTCTGCTGGATCTTTTGAATCCCCAGCTTTCATTAAATGACGTTTGTAGCCCTTTGCAGAGATATACCTTTCCCCGTCTATCTCCACAACAAAAGGGGATACAGACTTGCTGTTTTTTTGAAAGAAAAGCTGGGGATTCACAGGACCTAGCAGACGGATCCTTATAGCGCTATGGCAATTGCCAATTCTTTAAGAAACCAAGAAAAAAGATCTCCAGTGGTAAGTGTGTGCATGGCAGTGTTCCCTCTAAGCCGTGCCCGTGAGTGGCCGCTCATTAACATAGGAAGCCCCACTCTGGGGCCACACAGGGTCTTGCACTGCCCACTACCCATTGCCCATTTTAAGATGACAGCAGTTATATTCTGCTCAGGATGGGAACTGCTCGGCTCAGTAGGAAAAAAAAATTATTTGCAGGGGTGTCAAACTCACTGGAAATGTGTTATTTAAAGTTCAAAAAATCTTTAATTGTCTTTGTCTGTGTCCTTTATAAAGTTTATATCTCCGCTACCTGGCGTTACCTTTTATGACTCACATGGCCCGCCCCAACAAGGTCTCATTTATGTCAGATCCAGCCCTCATAACAAATGAGTTCGACACCCCTGTGAGAGGGAACATTGATGGAGCGGGGAAACGATGGTTATGGGAAAGGCAAGGAAAGTGCAGGGAAATTTGCCATGTGAATTCTCCATCCAGTGTTCATTGCCATTGCAGATACAAAGAATTGTCGCTGTGTGGAAGCAGCCCTTGACTTGCCATTAAATCCCAAAAAGTAGTTAAAAGTTTGTTCTTTGTCACTATATGCTGCTCTTAACATTTAAAGAGTTCACCAGGTGATAACCGAACCCCAGGCAGGTTCCATCCCCATTACTGGTTATCTTGCAGCACCCTGGAAGACGCGTGGGAAAACGTTTCCTAACAAAGCAGCACACAGCCTGCCTTCTCACAAATGGAGAAGACTGGACGGGGGTCAGGACTAGACTTGCCAACCTCCCGGTGGAAAAGATGAGCAAAACACCGTGATATATTATGCCAAAAGAAATATCTGCAGACTCATACATTCTTATCCAATATTCAGTTTACTGGTGCTAATCAGTTCCCCCGAAATCATTCATCACGACACTGTAATGATTCCATGTTTTGGTGTGTGTGTGTGTCTTTAAATGTTGAGTTTGACTGCAGTAATGCAAGGAGGATGATAGGGGGAGATGAGTGTGCTGTGACTGGCTGATGACTGAGAGTGTGGCAGGAGGGGTGTCTGTGAGGAATCTGTGTGTGTGTTTTATGACGGGGAGTTCTGTGTGTGTGTCTTTGGAAAGTGAAGTGTGGAAGAGCTACGAAGAGAGTCTGTGTGACTCTTAAAAGTTTTTTGAGAGAGTCTCTATGGCAAAGAAACAAGTAGTGTCAAAACTGCGGTTAGACAAATGTTTTATCTTGAGTGCCTAAGACAAAGAGTTTAGCCAGCGTGGCTACCTAGACGAGAGAGAGGAGCCCGTCAGTGTGGAATTTTGGTGTCTGAGAGACTGTGTGTGGCACCTTACTAGTTATATTTACAAGTTCCTTTTCCCAGAAACAGTTCAGGATAACCAGAAACCTATTTTGTTCTTTATTCAATAAATCAATTTTTGTTCAAACATATCCCAGAAATCAGTGCAGTCCTTCCTCAGGGCCACATAGTCCTCTGAAGCGCCCAGACCCTGGGTCATACTAACAAAAGAGAAACAACTGGAATTTTTAATTCCTGGTGGCAGCAGAAAACTACCAAGTTTATATACACGGAGGGCGGTTTAAAGGGAACCCCCCCCCCCGAAGCAAGCACGCCACAGACACCATCAACACAACGGACTGTGCATATCGAGTCCCAACTTTGTCGGAGTGTGTAGCATTGAAATTTCAACGTAGTTAATTCAACTACCCCGCTTCGGCAGGAGGGCGGGGTAAAAGTCTAATTAATAAAATAAGTAAGTAAATAAATAAATAAATTTAGCAAGCACTATGGCAGAGTCTCTTAGAACCATTCATCAATTCCGCTGGCGTGAATCATATTGAAATTTCAACGCTACACCCCCTGACAAAGTTGTGAATGAAACGAGACTTGATTTGCGTAGTCCGTCGTGCTGATGACGTCACTATGAAGGATTCCTGGGGAACTGATTAGCGCCAGTGAACTGAATGCTGGATAAGAATTTATGAGTCTGCAGATATTTCTTTTGGCATATTACATCACGGTTGTTTTGCTCATCTTTACCCCCATCCCGTGATCTCTCCTTTCGGTTTGCAGCCTCCCGGTGGAGCCTCGAGATCTCCCAGGATGACAGTTGATCTCCACAGGGATCTTTTTGTAGAAAAAGCCCAGCAGGAACTCATTAGCATAATAGGCCACACCCAACAGCAGAAAATCATTAGCATATTAGGCCACACCCCTGACAGCACCACTCATTAGCATATTAGGCCACACCCACATGTTACCAGAAGTGTGCTCATCCAGCCACACCCACCTTTTGCTTCTTATTCTGTTTACCTTGTTTGTTCTCAAAACCCAGGGCTTTTTTTGTAGCAGGAACTCCTTTGCATGTTAGGCCACACACCCCTAATGTAGCCAATCCTAATGAGTTTCTGCTGTTGGGTGTGGCCTGTTATGCTAATGACCTCCTTTTGGGCGTGGCCAACTCAGGAGCCAGCCGGAACTCAGTTCCTGTGCGTTCCTGCCCAAAAATAGCCCTGGATCTCCAGAGTACAGAGATCAGTCCCCCTGGACAAAATGGCTACTTTGGGGGGTGGATTCTATGGCCTAATACCCTGCTGAGCAACGTCCTCTTCCCAAACGTTGCTCTGTCCAGGTTCAACCCCCAAATCTACTGGAATTTCCCAACCCAGAGGTGGCAACCCTAGTCAGGATCAAGCTGGCTATTCTAGGAATATCGTGGAACCAAGAGAACCAACAAACAATTATGTGCTAATCCCTATTTCCCGTTGTTGTTAAGGAATATGAGCTTCTTAATTGTGTACTGCGTAATTTTAATGGCAGTACGAGAACCAATGATGAATAATGGACCTGTGGTCTAACGATAGGTCTGAAATTACATCCCCAGTATTTTGTGCGATACAGTTCACTGACTTGGGTGTCGTAACAAAGAAAAAATGGCTAGAGACGGGAGCTGCCGTCCAGTCTAAAGGCGTGGACTTGGCATTTCTGCGGGAGGGTTTTTTTCCCGTTTTAGCAACGCTTTTCTTTATTTTAAAGATGACCTCAGTGAAAAAACAAAAGAGAACAATGAACAGAGGGAGGAAATCATTCGGCTCAAACAAGAAATCAGTTATTTGAATAACGAGCTGATGTTTAGTGGTGAGTAGACCAAACAACAAAAGCTTTTTGGACGGTGGCTGTTTGGGGGAGGGCAAAAGGGGGGTGCCCCAGCAGAAAATCAAAGCATAGAAGAAGAAAAACAGTGCAGTGGGAAGAAAGATTTCTATTATAATTCATCCAGAGATCCCTTCGTGTTTCACACACTGTTTTTTCGGAGGATCTAAAATAATATATGAAAAAAGTAAACAGATTAAAAAAAACAACGTAAGCATAGAAATACAGAAAACCGGAAACCGAAGACAGACAATTCAGTGCAAACTTAACACAGGAAAAGTATTTTACAGGAGCTGTTAATGGCAGAGGGGTCCCAATCAGTGTTCCCTCTAAGCCGAGTCGGTGTGAGCCGGCTCACAGTTTTTTAGCCTCCAGCTCACGCATTTCTGTCTCAGCTCGGGAAGGAGGGATCCAGAGCAAACTAGTTTCTGCAGTTGCCAAATTGCTCGCTCACAACTTTAATGCCAGGAGCTCACAGAGTAGAATTTTTGCTCAGAAGACTCCACAGCTTATTGGGAACATTGCCCACAAAAAAAATGTTTATTGTCGGTGGCAGCCTAGAAGTTTGACGAAAATGTACTCTGCCTGCAGAACTAGCTGTTTGGGTTGTTATTGTTCAGGGAGGTGGGAGTCAGTCCCCCCCCCCCTTCCTTTGACCTTTGGTTTGGCTTGTCCACAAATTCCACTGCCAAAGCCTTGTCAACAGAGTTGCATGTAATGGACCTTATCTTCTCACTAGCACACCTGAGTCCCTGTACACGCTGCGCTTAGGCTGCACCCAATGCTCCCGTTTAAGCTGTGGGGTCTTGTGAGCAAAAATTCTACTTTGTGAGCGACTGGCATTAAAGTTGTGAATGAGCGATTTGGCTGCTGTATAAATCAGTTTGCTCTGGAGCCATCCTTCCTGAGCTAAGGCAAAAATGTGTGTGGCATGGGCTTAAAAACTGAGCTAGTTCACACTAACTCAGCTTAGAGGGAACACTGGCTGCACTACAATTCTTGGAGTGCTCATGACAGTAGACAAAGGGGGAGTGGAGAGCCAGTTTGGTGTAGTGGTTAAGTGCGCGGACTCTAATCTGGGCGAACTGGGTTTGATTCCCCACTCCTCCCCTTGCACCTGGGTATAAATCCAATCTCTTCTCTTCTTCTTCTTCTTCTTATATGCTGCCCTCCCTGTACAGGGGCTCAGGGCAGTTTACGCCAATTAATATAAAACAATTAAAACAAGAGAGCCAGTTTGGGGTAGTGGTTAAGTGTGTGGACTCTAATCTGGGAAAACTAGGTTTGATTCCCCCACTCCTCCACTTGCAGCTGCTGGATGACCTTGGGCAAGCCATAGTTCTGTCAGAGCCGTCCTTGAAAAAGAGCAGTTTCTGTCAAGAGCTCTCTCAGCCCCACCTACCCCACAGGGTGTCTGTTGTGGGGAGGGGGAGGGAAAGGTGTTTGTAAGCCGCTCCGAGACTCCCTTAGGTAGCGAAGGGCGGGGTATAAACCCAATCCTTCTTCTTCTTCTTCACCCCCCCATGACGTGCCCAGGCAAGTGCTGCTGTTGTATATATTGATGCCTTAATACTCTTCTTTTTGCCCCTCGCTGGGCAGTTGCCGGGGTCCTGGACAGGGAATAGTCTTTAGTGGTCACCTTTGCCCTTGAGGCCACCAGTTGCTAATTCCTGTTATGGGACAGTTTTGGGGGGGGGGGCTGGAGTCACCTCCGGCGTGAAGAGCTTTGGGAATCTCTCAGATCAGCTTGCATCTAATTCCGTCAACTGAAAAAAGGAATGCCGTGAATGTAAGGATCGTCCCCCCTGTGCTTGTAGCATCCTTTTGACCTTACATGCCTCTGCAGCCCGAGGGTCGGAAACTCGTGTTGGAGAACTGGAATATCATAACTTTGGTGCCGGATGCCATTTATTATTTATTTACAGAATTCATATGCCCCCTTCCTGCCCTCACCGGGCCCGCCGAGGCGCCTGACCATTTAAAACATACACGATGAGGTCACAATTTCAAACCATTAAAATCAGCCCCCCCTCCCCAAGCCTACATCAGTAAGACGATTAACAGCAAAGTTAAAATACATACGAAGACATAAAAACAGCAATCAAAACAAGGCACGTTCTTTGCTCCTGTTCTTTATTAGAAGCTTTAAGAGGCGAGCCAGGGTGATGCAGTGGTCTGAGTGTCCGACTCGAACTGGGTTCAGACCCCCGCTCTGTTAGGAGTCGTGTACACTTTCGGCCTAACCTACTCCACAGGGTCGTTGTGAGGATAAAAAAAGGAGGAAGCCACTATGCATGAACTTAAGAACATAAGAGAAGCCAATGTTGGATCAGGCCAATGGCCCATCCAGTTCAACACTCTATGTCACACTGACCAAAAATACCAAGTGCCATCAGGAGGCCCACCAGTGGGGCCAGGACACTAGAAGCCCTCCCACTGTTGCACCCCCCCCCACGCACCAAGAATACAGAGCATCCCTTGCCCCAGACTGAGAGTTCCTGTCTAGACCTTGTGGCTAATGGCCATTGATGGACCTCTGCTCCAGATGTTTATCCAGTTCCCTCTTGAAGCTGTCCATGCTTGTAGCCGCCACCACCTCCTGTGGCAGTGAATCCCACGTGTTAATCACTCTGCTGCCCTGAGTTCCTCAGAGAAAAGCCGCGTTATTGCTAGGTATCTCTCCTCCAAAAACTCTTGATTTAAATCAAATCACTGTCCTGTCCTGTCCTGTCCTGATGATTCACAACCAGCCACCACAACTGTTATCAATCCATTAATGAGCTGAGTTTGTTTACTCCAAAGCCAGGAACAGCTTTGGCCGTCAACGAGTCCAGCTGCCAGTCACTGACATAAACAAATGGGTTAGTGATGGATGAGCCCCTGAACCGCCCCGTCAAGCTCTCATTAGTGAAATTAGCAGCCACTTGAAGGCTGACGAGTGACACTTTTTGGCGTCTCCCAGAGTAACTGGCAAGGAGCCCTCTGCTCCAGTGACGGGGTAGTGTTTAGTCCTTTGGTGCCTGTTGCTTCTCAGTCAATTTTCTGTTTCGCATTGATTCATGTGCCCCACAGTCGAGAGAGCAAACCGAAAAGATCACCTCCTTCAGTCTGCAAAATCGAAGCAGCTACGGACTGACACAGAGCTCAGCAATTTGCGGCAGGTCTGACTCCCAATTTCTGTGGTTTTTCTTTTTTCCGGGGTTGGGGTGGGATGCTTTTGTTTTGGACTTGGTGGTGTTTTATGTCTCAACAAGGGAACAGGATCAAAGGTGGATAAACATCTGTCATAATGCTGGACTTAGAAGGGAACGAGCCTCTGAGTGCATGCGCTCAACAAGGAGTCCCCAGGGTGGTGTGCGTGAGCACTGGGGCACCCGCCAACACCTTTTCTGATGTCCACCCAAGCGCTTTTGGAAAGTGGCAGGGCTTTTTGCCCAGGAGAACTTCTGATTGGCTGTGCATTCTTTTAAATGGACCTTCTGCCTGGAATGCTGAAGAGTTACCATTAGACTTACACATAACCTCACACCCTGACATTCTGCGGTTGGCCCTGCCTCCTTCGGCAGCCATTCTGCGGTTGGCCCTGCCTCCTTCGGCAGCCATTCTGCGGTTGGCCCTGCCTCCTTCGGCAGCCATTTTGTGGTTGTGCCTACCATGCTGTGTCAGAATTCCAAAAGTGCCCGCAGGGTTAAAAAAAAAGGTTAGTGACTCCCTCCTTAAACCGTATTTGAGCTTCCTGTGCCCAAATGTCTGGGAACCTGTCCAAACCCTTCTGTGTGGAGCACTGTTCCCTCTAAGCTGAGTCAGTGTGAGCTAGCTCACAGTTTTTTAGCCTCTGTCTCACGCATTTTTGCCTTAGCTCAGGAAGGATGGCTCCAGAGCAAACTGATTTATGCAGCAGCCAAATCGCTCCCTCGCAACTTTAAAGCCAGTAGCTCACAAAGTAGAATTTTTGCTCACAAGACTCCCCAGCTTAGAGGGAGCGTTGGTCCAATAGCACCTTTTAGACCAGCAAAGTTTAATTCCGGATATAAGCTTTCGTGTACATGTCTCACTTCAGATATTTATTTATTTATTTTATTCGATTTCTCCCATGCCCTATCACGAAAGCTTATACCCAGAACTAAACTTTGTTGGACATAAAGGTGTCACGGGACTCAAACTTTGGTCTATTGCTTGAGACCAACACAGCGGCCCGCCTGAATTTAAACGATAGTTTGATGGTTCAGCACTTTGTGGTTTGCGCTGGTACAGAAGACTTAGAAGGCGGAGGAGGAAGGAGGTTTACCATGGCTTCTGAACTGTCCCCTCATATAAATAATGTCTAAAAATGGAATGCCTAAATGAACCGTCAAGGTTTTGGTTATAGTTCTTTGAAGCCCCTGAGCTTCTGAAGTTTGTCGGTTTCTTCCCTCCTCGTCTACCATCAGATCTACGTGAAGCAGCAGCAGGACCTGCAGTTTCTGCACTTCAGCTTGGAGAGTTCTCAGGAAACGAAGCCGAAACCCAAGAAGGAGGCCCACGAAGGAAGGTAGGCTTTCAAATTATGATCCATAAAGGGGCCTGATGCACAGGCCTGGAGAAATCTTTCCAGATGTAGCGTCAGAGGTGTTGGATCAAGCCTTCCGTGGGGCTGGGGGGGGGGAAGGAGATTTGGATGCAAAGCCGGTGTATCATACTTCTCATAGCCTAGCGTTTCCCCCCCCCCCCCACCCCCCGCCGGCGGGGGGGTGGCTGAAAAACAGGGCTATTTTTGGACAGGAGCGCACAGGAACGGCGTTCCGGCCGGCTTCCGCGCCCACCCCTCCCCTCGCCGCCCCTCCCTCGGCCAAAAGCCCTGCTGTTGCTGTATTTGAGCGCATTGATTTTGCATCAAAAATTGCTTCTCTTGCAATTCCAAATTTCACCACTAGATGCCTTTGCTGTGCTTCCCCACTAACTGGTCACTGCAATGCCTTGCTTCTCAACACTGGCTGACTGAGACCTCTGATTTGAGAAAAGCCTGAACTTTGGGTCCCGTTTAGCAGTGGGACGTGTGCTGCATACGGTCCTTTCCCCTCATTTTGTGGCTTGGTTTCAGTGTACTAAGCAGGTAGAAGAAGCAGGGGGGTGGGCTAATATGCTAATGAGTGTCTGCTGTTGAGTGTTGCCTGTTATGCTAATGAGTCCCTGCTGGGCTTTTTCTACCAAAAAAGCCCTGCTGAAAAGTAAAATCAAATCCCTCCTCAGTCACAAGGCTTACGAACTCCTGCGCTGCAAATACGTCTTTGCTGAAATTTCTCCACCTGCTCCTGTATTTGAGCAGATTGCCGTATGGTTTACTGCTGCAGCCTGCAACTGGGAACTCCGTGGGAAAGACCAGTAATCCCCCCCCCCATGTCCTTGTGTTGAAAAAAAGAAGGCATCCTACAAATTGCATGCCTTGTGTTGGTCTCTGTCCGCCAGACAAGCCAGCAGGGAACACCTGGCCTGTTCCAGATCAGAATATTCCTCCAAACTAGAATCACCTGGGGAGGAGCCGTGGCTCAGGGGTAGAGCATCCGCTTGGCATGCAGTAGGTCCCAGGTTCAATCCCCAGCATCTCCAGTTTAAAGGACCAAGCAGGTGACGCAAAAGACCTCCACCTGAGACCCCGGAGAGGTCCTGCCAGTCTGAATAGACAATACTGACCTTGATAGACTGAGGGTCCGACGCAGTATAAGGCAGCTTCATTTGTCCCTGTATTAACAGCTGGTCATTTGCTACGATGCTGGGCAGAATGTAATTCTCAGGACGGATTCAGGTGGGGTCGCCGTGTCGGTCTGTAGCAACAGAACAAAGTGTGAGTCCAGTGGGCACCTTTAAGACCAGCCGAGTTTAATTCTGGGTAGAAGCTTTCATGTGCAGGCCCCCTTCTTCAGATGTATTCTCAGGATGGCAACAGACCCCTTTGTTGAGGTTAACCAAGTTCGCAAAGCACTGCATGTAACTTTTGGGTTACATAGAAATCTATCTTATGCTCAGGGCTATTTTTGGGCAGGATCGCACAGGAACGGAGTTCCAGCTGGCTCCCAAGTTGGCCACGCCCGGCAGGATCTCATTAGCATAATAGACCACACCCAACAGCAGTTTTGGATTGCTAGCTATGGGGGGGGGGGACACGCAGATCCTCATGCTCCTCATGGCCCCGGGCTGCTGGGAGGCGGGGGTGGGGCTTGTTGCATGTGCCCGCCCCCTGGGCTCTTTGCTGCCGGAGCTCCACTCCTGTGTGCTCCTGCAGGAAATGACCCCTGGGCCTGCATAAGGGAGAGGATAATAGAGGGGAAAAAGAAGTAGAAAGTATTTACAAAACCATAGGCTTAGTTTTAGAACCAGAATGCGGTCAGTAGCAGCTGGATGGGGCAGAGTTGGGGGTCTGAGTGGGTATACAGAACCCGGAAGTGGCCTCATCCTGCCTAGCAGCAACGGCGCAGGGATCGGCCGCTGTGGGGATAATTATCCTTGTAAGTTGTCGAATTGCCGTCTTGATAACGTGAGCTCCTTATCCCGCCACTTCTAGCATAGAGATGGTTTGGTCAGATCTCGAGAATAGCAGCGACAGAGAGTCGGTCTGTAGCGAAATCACTCAGAAGAGACACACACAGTTTGTGCACTTCCCCCAAAGCAGCTTGCAAAATACGTTCCTCCTGTGCGAAGCTGAGGATATGCAGCAGGCACAAGACCCGGGCTCCGCGGAGCGACGCGCGGCAAAGTTGGACGCGTTTCCGGAAGGGGCGTTTGGATGTTCAGAAACTCCACCTAGGGAAGAAGAGCCGCAGAACAGTCCCTTGAGGGTGGGCAGAGTAGAGAGCACCTGGATGGTGGATGGCGGGGGGTTTGCTCGGGCGCCTGAGCGAAACCCGGCCACCTCTCTGCCGAGGCACGGCCACTGGCTGGAGCTGGATTCCTTCACGGAGCCCGCAAAGGGCCGCTGTAGCCCCGCGTCAAAACTCTCTGACAAATTCGACAGGGGCTGTACAGCTGCAGGGGTAGATCCTGTTGGGATCCCAAGCGGGCAAAGTCCCCAGAGGTCTTCCCGTCCGGCCCAAGCGCTGGATCCCGGCTGCTCCTGTCGCTGCTCTGCGAACAAAACCTCGTTGCACCAGCCCGTCACGGACCGAGAGTGGATGCGGATTTTCAAGCCGGCCAGAGCAGAAGGAGGCACGCGGCACGGAGCTGTTTTCGGCCCTCCCCAGGCTAGTTGTCGAATTAAAAGCACCAAGGCAGAAAGGTTAGGTGTTTTTCTAATTGTACCAAGATTAAGCATTCTACAGTTAAGTTATAATTGTCCTCCCCCCTCCAATGAAAAGAACATGAACTACTGTGCAAAACCTTTGGTTGAACCAGCTAGTAGTCGGAAGCAGGGCACTCTCTCAAGTTATACGTGCTTAATCGGGGCTTTTCTTTCCTGGGGGAACGCGCCAGAACAGAGTTCCGCAACCTCTTCGACAAAATTCTTTTAAAAATGTTTAAACATTCATAGGTTTCAGTATACAGACTGTAAACTTCATTTCCCTCTAGAGAGTTCTGGCACCTCTTTTTCCAAAGAAAGAAAGAAAGAAAGAAAAGCCCTGTGCTTAATGAAAGCATTCTTAGTAGGGTTACCAACCTCCAGGTGGGGCCTGGGGATCTCCTGCTGTTACAGTGGAGTTCCAGATGGCAGAGATCAGTTCCCCTGGAGAAAACGGCTGCTTCGGACGGGGGGGCTCTCTGGCATCGTACCAGCCTGAGGCCCCTCCCCTCCCCAGGCTCCGCCCCCCAAATCTCTAGGTATTTCCCCACCTTGGGCTGGCAACCGATGCTCCCTCTAAGCTGTGGAGTCTTGTGAGCAAAAAAATCTCCTTTGTGAGCAACTGGCGTGAAAGTTGTGAGCGAGCGATTTGGCCGCTGCATGAATTACTTTGCTCTGGAGCCCTCCTTCCTGAGCCAAGGCAAAAGGGTGTGAGCCGGAGGCTAAAAAAACTGTGAGCTAGCTCACACTAACTCAGCTTAGAGGGAACACTGCTGGCAACCCTAATTCTTAGACTCCAGCCTATATTAAAAGCCCGTCCTTCTGGATTCGCAGTCAAACCAGACACAGTAACACGTGACCGTTCAGCCAAGTTTATTTTTTGAAAAGTCCAGGCCTCTGTTTGCCAGCGGGCAGCATCTAATAACCGCCAAGGCTTTTGTCTGCTCCAGTTGTTAAGCAGCTCTTCAGTAGCTCTTCTCTGTAATGCCTTTTAGGCTTCAGTGCCCTTTTGCCACATCGACAGACTCTCAGGCAGGAAGACACCGGCATTTCCCTGATCGGGCTGGCAGCTGCGGCTGCAGTCCCTGTGTGTTGTGGTAGATGGCTAGAGGGGGGACTTGCATCCACCTGGGGTGCACTGGTTGTCCTGACAGAGTAGCTAGGGGCAGGATCTCTGCACATGCTCGAGTGCGCTCTGGCTTCCTTCACATGTGAGAAAGCTGAGGTTTAGCTTGGTGTGTGACAGCTGGGAATGCCAGCCTCCAGGCGGGGCCTGAGAATGCCCCAGAATTACAGCTCATCTCCAGACTACAGAGATCAGTTTCCATAGAGAAAATGGATGCTTTGAGTGATGGACTCTAGGGCATTGTACCCCACTGAGGTCCCTGTCCTCCCCAGACTCCATCACCAAATCTCCAGGAGTTCATTCGTTGTTGTAGATTTTTCCGGACTGTATGTATGTATGTATGTATTTATTTATTTATTATTTCGATTTATAGCCCTCCCTCCCCGCAAAAGCGGGCTCAGGGCGGGTCACAGACAGGCATACGCCCGCACATAAAAACATTTTTAAAACCATTTAAAACATTATACAACATTACAAAATTACGTATATAAAGTGCTCCAGATATTCCAATTTATCTTCCACAAAGATGGCCATGATCTTGGCATTGTAGGACCTGACGTTTCACCAGCAGCTGTGACTGGTGTCCTCAGAGGTATAACACAGAAAAATGGAGTACCCTCTGTGTCAAGGTGAGAAGAAAAAATGGTGGGCAGGTAGTTTATATCTACTCAGGAAGGTGGGGTAGGGCTGAGTCATTACCTTGTAGATTAGACTTTCAACAGCCAGTCCATATGCAAAAGAACCTCCTCAGGAAAGCTCCTCCATTAGCATGTTCACAGCCTGGTGAACTCCAACAAGATCATGACTCAGCCCTCCCCCATCTTCCTGAGTAGATATAAATTACCTGCCTACCATTTTTCTTCTTCTCCCCTTGACACAGAGAGTACTCCATCTTTCTGTGTTATACCTCTGAGGACGCCAGTCACAGCTGCTGGCAAAACGTCAGGTCCTACAGTGGCAAGACCGCGGCCACGCAGCCTGGGAAATCTACAACAACGAAAGAACTCTGGATGTGAAAGCCTTCGACAAGGTACTCCAGGAGTTTGCCAACCTGGATCTGGCAATCCTCCCCCGTCCCCCCACCTGGCCACCCTCGTGCCAGCTCAGGTTCTCTCCCTGCACTACCCAAGTCAAGCACCTTTTGCTCAGCTGGCTCTCAGCTGCTCTGTGTTGCTCTCTGTGTGTGTCTGAGATGTGTTCACACCACTGAGAGCGAGAGAGAGATGGCTAGGAGTGTCATTACAAAGGCTCTCCTTGTCTCCCTAGCAGCTCTGGCCTTTTGTAACCAGTGGCAACTCCGCAGTGGAAATGCCCTGAGCTCCCACATCCTGGTGCCGCATTGATGGGATAATCCCTGCGCTGAGCCCTTGGACCGTGGTGCTGGCCGTTTTTTTCATGTTGTGCCAGCATGGGGTTTTTTTGCCCGGTCATCTAGGTTTGATGACTTTTCAGATTGCAGAACAATGGCTGCCCTTTTCATTTCGGTCGGTTTAGAAAATAAACCGAACTGGAGTTTTCAGGCAGACAGCTCACGTGCGATCAGTTTCGTCTTCTGCAGGCACATTTGGGGACTCTCCCAAGTATGTTCGCGTATGGAAAGGCTGTTGAAACTCAGGTGAAGTAGTAGCTTGCGGGACTGGGACCACACTAGCAGTATTCTTGTGAAGCCAAGCGCTGTGGGCCTTAGGTGGTACCTACTAGATTCAGCTCCAGTTCAGGGTACACTAAATAAAAGAAACCGGAAATAGTTGTTGTTTTTTTGTTGTCGAAGGCTTTCACGGCCAGAGTTCATTAGCTGTTGTAGATTTTCCGGGCTGTATGGCCATGGTCTTGGCATCGTAGGACCTGACGTTTCGCCAGCTGCTGGCGAAACGTCAGGTCCTACGATGCCAAGACCACGGCCATACAGCCCGGAAAATCTACAACGACGAAAGTATTTTTTGTAACTGGAGCAGTTCAGTAGAAAATTACGGCTGTGTTTTGTCCTAAAAGACAGGAAGTTAGACGCAATTTCAGAGTTTAGTGGACTAGCTTTAGAGGACACAAGTTTTGCAGCTTCACAGAACTATTCATCAGACACACGCCAGCTCATGAAGAGTCCAGTGAAAGTTAAAAGCTTCCACACTCTTGCTTGGACCTGGAACAGTTTGTTGGCAGTTGCCTCCTTTGCCTCCTTTTTAGTTTCTCTGATAGGGAAGAATACATCCAAGATTTGAAACAGACAAACTTGCTTAGCGGCTGATAACAAAGAAGTAGCAGGAGCAATAGAAACTGCAAGCAAAGCTTGCAAATAACTGCGGCTAAACTTGGGAGGGTCAGCTTCTTCGTAACAAGCGGGATTTTATTCATTGTTTAGAATCAATGCGGAAGTGCTGACTGACAAACACACACACAGCCACACACAACACGCTTTCAGCAGTTTGAAGGTTACAAATAAGTTGTTTTGTTCTGAATGAAGCAAAATTTGACTGCGTTTTTTAAAAAAATGTTTGAGCTTTGCTTTTCTCAGTGCAGAACATTCAGCCACCGAACAACTGTATTGTAGAGTTGCGTTTAAATTTGAAGACTGGTGCCCTTGGGTGGGCTGCCCCGGGCCAGATCCAAATGTGGCACTTCCCTCAGGGCAAGGAGCCTTCCCTTGCAGGAAGAGGCTCAGTGATGGGGTGAGATGGGGGGGACGGGACACGCAGCACCCTTAGGCAAATCTTCATGGGTCTCGATCAATGCTCCCTCTAAGCTGTGGAGCCTTGTGAGCAAAAATTCTCCTTTGTGAGCTACTGGCATTAAAGTTGTGAGCGAGCGATTTTGGCTACTGCATAAATTAGTTTGCTCTGGAGCCCTCCTTCCTGAGCTAAGACAAAAATGTATGAGCCGGAGGCTAAAAAACTGAGCTAGCTCACACTAACTCAGCTTAGAAGGAACACTAGTCTCGATCCTGCCAGTTTTTGGGTGCAGTGATTCCAGTGCCCGTGCAGAGTGGAGTTTCATTTGTGCAAGAGGCCCAGAAGGGCTTGCAGTAGCCACCTTTGGGCACCCAGCAAAGTCCTGGCAAGAGGGCAGGGGATACCTTGTATGGCATGACAATCTGTCTCATTTCTTAGCAGATCGGGCTTGAGGCTGTGCTGGTCTCCTCTCTTGTGGGCCAGGTCCCTAAGTCTTACATTGTCTTGAGAACTAGAAACTTGAAACTGAAGTTTAAAGTGGGAGGCCTTGCGTTGTGAAGAATTACTGTGTGGGCTGCGTGTCCCCAACTGCCTGTCATCCTCCTGTGTCCAAAAAGCATCAGACTCATACTGAGGCCTTTTTTAAAACTTTTTTTTCACATATACATAACACAATAACATGATAAGCACATGTCTGATCCATCTCAATCTCAGCAAGTCCGGCAATTTATAAACGGATACAACATATAGTTCTTAGTGAATCAGGCAGATTACAGATAAATGCTTTGCATAACTTTTTCTAAGTTCAATAAATTATTAGCTACAGAAGATCATATACCATACATTTTTAGATCTGGTTTAATTCCAACTGAATTCAGTGTTCCTATTTTTACTGTTTCCTGTGGTTTCGTCGGATTCCAATCCTGAATGAAGGGGGAACAAGTTTGGAAAAAAATGTATCTTGCCTATAATATCCCCTTCCCCAGATTTTCTAGGTGCAGACATTTTCTTCGTCAGCACTGCACACCGTGTATTTCTTAACCATGGTGCTTTTTCTTTTGCTTCTATGCATGGAAACTTAGGCCTTTCTTAGAATGTTTACAGTAGATTCCTGGAAAAGACCACATCTTTTTATATTTACATAAAATATATTTATATGTTCCACCAGGCCTTTAGTTAGGGAGCCGCACCCAAGAAACTGAGGGCCGGGCCCTAATATTAACATCATTGTTAACAGCCAGTTTAAACCCAGACTACGATGTCAGCCAGCTGTTGCCGGAGGATGCTGCTAATGCCCGCCATCTGATACAAACGAGCACTTTATGTTTTATTATATTTATGATTGTATTGTTCTGATTTTATTTAATTCTTGTTTTAATTGTTTTATATTTTCTGTGTAAGCCGCCCTGAGCCTGCCTTGGCGGGGAGGGCGGGATAGAAACCAAATAAATCAATAAGTATATTTGTTACGCAGCAGTCACGACGTGGGCCTGACCCTTTCGGACTTGGGTTCTCCGTGTTTGACGTCGACGCAGAAGACGAGCAGGCCCAAGAGGCAGGAGAAGCTCTTCGACCCCGATCTCTCCCCCAAGCTCGCGAGTGTGCCAGAAGTCCAGGTGGTGTACGCGTGCTGCCGTCCCGCCATCCACTATGTGAGGCTTTGCCCTTGTAAGACGGCCCATTTCATTGGGCAAAACCGTAGCACGACGCCTTTCCCCGTTCCCCTCCCATTGGCCGCCCTCTCTTGTTCCAGGCACTGCTTCCGGGGCAGTCTTGGGGCTGACCTTAGCTGTAGTTCCAGTTCGGCTGGACCAGGCATTTTAGGGCAGAGCAAGCGATGGCACAGCTTGCTCTGTACCCTTCTTCAGATCTATATCCTGTCCCGCCCCCAAGCCGGGTCCCGTTATCGTCTCTGGCATTGGTCCTGAGACCATCTTGAGGAGGTCTGAGTCCTGCCTCCCTGTTCCCCAGCCTGGATTTCTAATCTAGGCTGCCAGCTCTGGGTTTGGATATACCTGGAGATTTGAGGGTGGAGCCTAAGAGGGCGGGGTTTAGCAGTGGGAGGACCTTGGCTGGGTACAATGCCGGGCAGTCCACCTTCCAAAGTAGCCATTTTCTTCAGGAGAATGGAATATGTGTTTTAAATAAATGATAAAATGTGTGATCAGTTGTCATTCCAGGAGATCTCCAGGGCCCCCCCCCCCCACAACCTGGAGGTTGACAACATACGAACATAAGAGAAGCCAATGTTGGATCAGGCCAGTGGCCCATCCAGTCCAACACTCTGTGTCACCCAGTGGCCAAACATACCAGGTTCCATCAGGCGGTCCAGCAGGGGGGCCAGGACACTAGGAGCCCTCCCACTGTTGCCCCCCCCCCCCGTGACCAGAACTGTACACAGTATTCCAAATGAGGTCGCACCATCGATTTATACAGGGGCTGATTTGTTTTCAATTCCCTTCCTAATAATCCCCAGCATACGGTTGGCCTTTTTTATTGGAGTCGCACACTGTCTCCGCATTTTCAGTGAGTTATCTACCACGACGCCAAGATCTTTCTCTTGGTCAGTCTCTGCCCCATCAATGTGTATTTATATTTAGGATTTTTGGCCCCAATGTGCATCACTTTGCACTTGGCCACATTAAACCCCATTTGCCACGTTGACGCCCACTCGCCCATCCTTGACCGATCCCTTTGGAGTGCCTCACCATCCTCACTGGTTTTCACCACCCTGAACAACTTCGTATCATCCGCAAATTTAGCCACTTCACTGCTTACTCCCATCTTTAACCTTATTCTAACCCCCACTGGCTCCCGATTCCACCATTGCCTGCCTTTCCAGAGCATCTTCTTATTTATGAAGTGAGCTCGTACCCTTCCTGTGTGGTCTCCGGGGGCCCTGGCCCCTTCCCTGCCGTCTCTGAATCTGTTCCGTTCTGGTACCTCCTAGGATTCCTGCTCACCCACAAGTCAGCTTCAAAGACTACTGGCAGAGTCCCGGCAGATGTTGGCCGACCTGGAACGCAGCTACCTGCTCCCCGAGGCTCCTGGCTGCAGTCCCCGGGAGGGGAGCCCCCCTGAAGTAAGTCCGACCATCAGAACAACTTCAGCGATTGGGAGAGTTCATTTTTAATAGTCATCACGAGCTCAGTGGCTTTGACTGTTGTATTGTGACTGAGATTAGCATATGTTTTTCTTTCCACGGTTCTGGATATTTTTTACAAAAAGAAAGGTGGGATATACATTTATTATGTTTATTAAAATATCACTACCCAGCCTTTCTCCCCATCAACACTGGGAAATTCTTCCTTTCGTGTGTGTCCCCCCCCCCCCCGGTTTTATAAGACCCGTTCCTATCGCTGTTGCCACCGAGACAGCCAAGCGTTTTGTAGCACCTTCAAGATCACCACTTTTCCTGAGCCAGAAATCCACTTCGACAAGCTCCAGTGGAGAAAAATGCACAGTCCTCCTCTCTCAGCACATACATTAGTGTTTACAGTGCCACATGACTCTCGTTGTTCTCTCTAAGAATTTGCCAGGGGCAAAACCGTCCAGTAAAATGACTGAGCTGGGTTTTGCCACGAGCAGAGATCTGAACAGGCCGAGCAAGAATGAACTGACATTTCAATCCTGGAAGAGCTGGGGCAGATTCTTGATTTGGCAAGAGAGGGATTTTTGGATCTTGCTTTTCAACTTTAAACTCCAAGCAGATATTGTGTAAGTCAATAAAAGCTGCAAACATCCAAAGTAAAACCAAAAAACAGCATAAAACCACATCGTTCAAAGGAACAATCAGATTCATTTGGAGAGTCCTACGATTAGGGGTGCCACCACGGAGAAGGCTTTGTCCCCAGGTGCCAGTAGGAGCCCAGAGAAAGGCCTCTTGTTGCTGGGCAGACATGGTGCTGCCTGTCTATCAGTATCTTCAGTTTGGTGTAGTGGTTAGGAGCGCGGACTCTAATCTGGGAGGACTGGGTTTGATTCCCCACTCCTCCACATGCAGCTGCTAGTGTGACCTTGGGACAGTCACAGCTCTCTCTGAGCTGTTCATGAAAAAGAGCAGTTTCTGTCAGAGCTCTCTCAGCCCCACCGACCCCACGGGGTGTCTGTTGTGGGGAGGGGAAAGGAGTTTGTAAGCCGCTCTGGGACTCTTTCAGGTAGTGAAGGGTGGGGTATAAATCCAATCTCTTCTTCTCTCTCTCTCTTCATGTGATGTATTTTTCTAGGATTCCCCGGCCTTCTGCAGCCGGGTGACTGGCTAACAAACGTATTTCTAACTGCCTTGCTGTGTGGTCCTAAATCCAGCTGCACCCTTCTAAAGTCCTTTGAAGTCAATGGGTTTAGAAGGGTTTAAGTCTGCTTAGGATTGCACTACTGGAGGCTGAAAGCGCTTTCTTCTCCTCCTGTGCTGATCTCTAAAAACAGCAGATCTCTTTTGTCAAAGCAAACCAGAGCGTTTCACCTGGAAGGTCGTTTCACCCCTCTAAGCTGTGGAGTCTTGTGAGCAAAAATTCTACTTTGTGAGCTCCTGGCATTAAAGTTGTGAGCAAACTGTTTGGCTACTGCATAAATCAGTTTGCTCTGGAGCCCTCCTTCCTGAGCAAAGACAAAAATGTGTGAGCTGGAGGCTAAAAAACTGTGAGCCAGCTCACACTAACTCAGCTTAGAGGGAACACTGCCTCCAACTGAAATTGCATTGGCTGAGGCAAAGCCATTCTCCGCCTCGGTTCTCTCATTGGTCCAATGGAGCGAGAGCGACTTCCCTGGCTCGCGAGCTTCTCCCCCCCCCCACTGTTCCCTCTAAGCTGAGTGAGTGTGAGCCAGCTCACCGATTTTTAGACTCCAGCTCACACATTGTTTGTCTCAGTTCAGGAAGGGTGGGGCTCCAGAGCAAACTGATTTATGCAGCAGCCCAATCGCTCGCTCACAACTTTAATGCCAGGAGCTCACAAAGTAGAATTTTTGCTCACAAGACTCCACAGCTTCGAGGGAGCACTGCTCCCCACTCCCATCTCTGCTTTAGTTTCATCCAGCCACAAGATGGTGTGACGCCCTTCTCCACTCACCCAGAGTGCCTGCCCCCCCCCCCCCCACAAGTAGGTCAGGCCTTCACAGCACACAGAGCCAGTTTTGGTGTCGTGGTTAAGTGCGCGGACTCTAATCTGGGAGATTCCCCACTCCTCCACTCGCACCTGCTGGATGACCTTGGGCAAGCTGTAGTTCTGATAAGAGCTCTTCTTGAAAAAAAGAGCAGTTTCTCTCAGAGCTCTCTCAGCCTCACCTACCTCAGGGTGTCTGTTGTGGGGAGGGGGAGGGAAAGGAGTTTGCAAGCCGCTCTGAGACTCCGAGTGAAGGGCGGGGGTCTAAATCCAATCTCTTCCTCTTCTCTTCACTACCCTTCTTGCCTCTTTTAAAATAGAGAGGCCTGACCATTTCACCTCTCAGGTCCTCTCTGTCTCTCTCTCTCAGAGATGTCAGCAGGCAAGGTAGCCCAGCTCCCTTTAAAACAGCCCCCCCTCACTCACACACCGTGTTGGGGCTGAGGACTCAAACACGTGCTGCCACACATTGTTCATATCCTAAAATATATAGAGGCTGCAGTCTTAACTGGTGTGTTTGTGTGGGGTATTCCTATTGTTGCTAGCAGCGTTTATTTTGACATGGTTGTCTTCTAAGGGTCCACTGTCTTCATACCCTATAGCAGGGGGGGGGCAGACTGCAGCTCGGGAACCACACGTGGCTCTTTCACACAGTCTAATTTAATTTTAATAAAAAGTAAATTTGCATATCTTTCAGTAAAAATGTGTGTGTGATATCTGTTCATGTCTTGCAGCTCTCAAACCTCTGATGTTTATTCTATGTGGCTGTTACGTTAAGCAAGTTTGGCCACCCCTGCCCTATAGTGTGAATTGAGCAGTGGGCTGTATTTCATGGCCATTTTGCATGAAACGGAAGCCCAGATTTGCCATCGCACCTCCCAGAGCTGCTACTTCCTAGTTGACCCACATGCAAGAGGATTGTGACCCACTTTTGTGTCCAGACTCAAAGTCTGAGAATTATGAATCAGGAAGGCTCTGGGTTCGAGTCTTCGCCGGTTCCATGGCCTTAGGCAGGTCGGTTTCTCTCTCGGCACGGTCCAGGGATCCTGGAGGTTTTTTGCCTTCCTCTGGGGCATAGAGCACTGGGGGAGCTGGGGAGGGACGTGGTTGTGAATTTCCTGTGTCACGCACGGGGTTGGACTAGATGACCTTTGAGGACCCTTCTGGCTCCCTGTTACTATGTTTTGCAAGTGAACATATACAATACAGAGGCATCTGAATGGGCTTTGGCTCCTGGCTGCTCTGATCTGCCTCTGGCCTTTTTAATGCTGCCTTTCCTCCAAACTGCCGTGGATTGCAGGCGTAGTTCTCCCTTCGTCCCATCTGCACAACAGCCCTGTGAGGCAGGTTGGGCTGAGAGAGAGTGGGTGACTGGCCCAAAGTCACTCTGAGCTTTCATGTTCTTTGCACTGAACCAGGCCATCTCTCTGTGATACTTGATCCTGCTCTTACTCCATGGAGCGAAGGGCAGCATAGATCCTTTCCTCCGTCCGTCCACTCCTTCCTCGCAACAATCCCGTGAGAAGGGTTGAGAGGGAGACAGAGAGAGTCATGCTTTCTCGGTGAAAGTCACTGTTAAATAGTGGGTTCCATGGATGAGGAGACCCAAGTCCAGCAATCAGCTCAACTTTAATTGTGATTTCAGCAAGACAAGAACTCCAGAGCCTCAGCTCTGTTAAATAGCATGCCATTGCCACACCCAAACACGCCCCACTCCCAGTGATAGGCTATTTACATAACATTGATACTAGATTGGTTACTTCCAGAGTCCTGGTAGGCTATTGTTCTTGTGCTCCAAGCTCAGCCAGTCTCTGGTGTGACATACTTGGAATGGCTCAATCCCAATACATAACAGTCACCCAGTGGGCTTTCGTGGCAGGGTGGGGTTTCGAACCTTGGTCTCCCCAGGCCTAGTGTGACACCCAAGCTACACCACCACATGGCCTCTTTGAGCATCACGCCACAGAGCCCTTTGGCTGTGCCAGAGCCACAAAGGGGCGTTTAACCAGCACCGCCCCGATGGGGGCCAATATCAGGAGCCAGGACCCACATGCCCCAACCCTCCAGGCCAGCCCTTCCCTGCCAAAAACCGAGAAAAAAGGGGGGGGGGGAGGAAACTCAACCCCAAAATGCAGCTATGATCTAAGAGGGTCAAGCTAATAAATAAATTGTTCTAAAAATACAAATATTTATTATGGTGTACACATAAATGAAACATACATAAGGTTAAAAGAAATAGGCTGAAGGGGTCAGAAACGTGTATGGTCTATTGGTCAAACGTTTTACCCATCCATTGGACATGTGTAACTATCAGCTCTGAATGTAGTAAGCTTTAGAGTCTGATATTTGGACTATTTCTTTTAACCTTATGTATGTTTTATTTATGTGTAAAAAGGTAAAGGTTCCCTTGCTCGAAAGCCAGTCGAATCCGACTCTAGGGTTGCGGTGCTCATCTCCGTTTCAAAGCCGAAGAGCCAGCGCTGTCCAAAGACTTCTCCGTGGTCATGGGGCTGGCATGACTAGATGCCGAGGCGCACGGAACGCTGTTACCATCCCAATGAAGTGGTACCTATTTATCTACTTGCAATTTCTTGTTTTCGAACTGCTAGGTTGGCAGGAGCTGGAACGAGAGACGGGAGCTCACTCCGTCATGCAGCACACTCGGGTCTCGAACTGCTGAACTACTGACCTTCCACAGCCTGCAGTTCAGCGTCTTAACCACTTGAGACACCGCAGCTCCTCATTTATGTGTACACCATAATAAATATTTGTATTTTTATAACAATTTATTTGTTAACTTGACCCTCTTAGATCACGGCCCTTGCCTGCACCTGCCGGGGCCGAGGCTTTGGCTGCAGGGGGCTTCAGGCAAACGTAGAAGAAATGCAGGAAATGTTACGTGGCGCCTTCGGCATTTCTGGCACGCCTCCTGGCTTGTAAACCCTACAGTTGGCAGCCACCGAGAGACGTCTCTGTCAACACGGAAGCTCCTGAGCTGCCAGCTGTTTGCAAAGGGACGGGAAAACTTTTCCAGCAGCAGCAGCAGCAGCACAAGGTCGGCTTTCAGGGAGGCAGCTGTCGGGGCAGCCCCGTGCTCCGTCCCAGGCAGTTAATGTTTTCTTTAATTGTCAAGGCATCTGGGAGGTTTGCGCTGATCGTGTTTTTCCCCTAAGCGGAGAACCGGCCGGTCAGCAAACGGCAGAGCCTGAAACTGGATTGCAGTGTGTCGTTTCAGTGTGTATCTATATACGTTTTCAGATGACTGCTTTCCTTCTCGTTTAAAAACCAGTTGTCCTCTGTTTGTCTTGCAAGAACCACCCTTTGTGAGACGCGGCCGCCCACTCCTGAAGGTCATCGTGGTGTGGAGGTTCCACAAGACAGCCGTCTTTCAGTCGCTGTGATCGATCTCGGAACGCCTCGTGTGCCAGTGACCTGGGTCTAAATGCTGAGTTCTATTCCTCCTCCGCCTACACACCCCTACACACACACACCCCTACACACCTACACACACACACTCCTCTGGAATTATAGGCCAGTGAATACAAGTGACTTTAAGGAACATCCACCCTAAGATCAATTGATAGTATTTTTTGGAAGATTATGTAAATACGTAATTGCTCCTTTGGAGGCATTTGAAAAACAGAAACGTGTTTTCTCTGCTTTTCCCTGTTTTTGTACCAATATTTTGTATTTACAGTATAAAGCCAAATTGGTCATTTCTGCCTGGGTTTCCTTTTTAACCCCTAGACGTTCTTCCCTTGTATCCGACTGGAACAGTCATGGAGAAACGCTCCCTCCATTGCCGCACTGCACGCGACCCCCTCTCCCACCACACGGGGAAAAGGTTTTGGACACGGCTGCATGTGCCCTATTCACGTGAACAGCCCTTCTTAATTTCAGCAGGACTTGCACAGGGTGGTGCCTTTCCACCGTAGGCCTGATCTACTGATTCTAATGGGGTTAAGACGATAAAATGGATGTTTTAAAGATGCTCCATTCAGCTTTGTGCACTTGAAAGCCTTCCGAGCATGGTGCACATAAGCTCATAAACATAAGGTTCTTTCTTTTTGGACCAATGGGCCCGTCTTGTCTGAAAGTGATGTTAATAATTAATCTGCAGTCTGTGCTTTGAATCACTTCTAGCCTGCAGCACGACTTGGCGTGTCCGGGGTGGGTATTGTAGTACGCCAGGGCTGGTGACCATCCCATATACCCGCTGCTTCTGGGGGTTGCTGGCATGCCAGGCTCAGCCACTGGATTTCCTCGTGACCCCATAGAAGCGACAGCAAACAGGCCAGGGAGGAGAGGGACAGGCAGTTTCCTTATAAGAATGAAATACTTTGCACCATGGATAATAGAAATGTGGAATTCACTGCCAGGGGATGTGGTGATGGCCACAGGCATAGATGGGTTTTAAAGGGTGATTAAATTAATGGAGGCTGCTAGCCGTGGTGATGAAAAGGAACCTCCACGTTCAGAGGCACTAACCCTCTGAATCCCAGAGCCAGGAGGCAACATCAGGGGAAGGCCTCGGCCTCTCTGCCCTGTCATTGGCCCTCCAGAGGAACTGGTTGGCCATTGTGTGAGACAGGATGCTGGGCTCGATGGACCCTCACTGGTCTGGTCCAGCAGGGCTGCTCTTATGTTCCAGTCTGGTGTAGTGGTTAAGTATGCGGACTCTAGTTTGGTGTAGTGGTTAAGTATGTAGTTAAGTATGCGGACTGTTAACTTGATATGGTGGGGGGGCGGAGAAAAAGAGCCAGTTTGGTGTAGTGGTTAAGTGCGCTGACTCTAATCTGGGAGAACCGGGTTTGATTCCCCACTCCTCCACTTGCACCTGCTGGATGACCTTGGGCAAGCCATAGTTCTGATAAGAGCTGTTCCTGAAAAAGAGCAGTTTCTGTCACAGCTCTCTCAGGCCCACCTACCTCACAGGGTGTCTGTTGTGGGGAGGGGAAGGGAAAGGAGTTTGTAAGCTGCTCTGAGACTCTTGAGTGAAGGATGCGGTATAAATCCAGCCTCCTCCTCCCCCTCCTCTTCTTCTTCCTCTTAAGGCTCGCCTGTGAAGGAACTGTTTTCCGTCGGCTGCCGGTCATTTGAGGTTCATGCGGCCAAGGGGTCCCTGCCCCCCAGTTTAGCATGGACAGCACAGCAATTTCCAACTGGATGCGGCTCCTTCAGTGGGGGCTGAGGCCAGGCAACTTAAGAGAAGTGAGAACACAAGATTCTCTCCCTCTGCACGCTCCGTCCTGATTCTCTCACCCAAATGCGGACCAGAAGCAAGAACCTCCTGCTTTTATTTACCTCTGTGCCTTTAGTACTGTCAGTGTTATCCACACCTCTTTGGGAGAGGGGTGTGTGTGTGTGAGCGGCCCCTCCCTATGCATCCTACGTTTCAGCCAGCTGCTAAGAAGGGGGGGGAGGTGTTGTCCTTCTGGAAACCTAACAAGACATGGGTAGGGCTGCCCGCCTTGTAGGCACACACTTGACTATTATTAAAGGACAACAAAGCTTCCCTTTCATTCCTGCCTGCCCTTAGCTAGGGCGTGTGGGCTTTTCCCGCTCCCTGTCTTGTTTTAATTAGAGGGTCAAGAAACAAGGCCGAATAGGGCTCTTTTCCCTCTTCCCCCCATACCAAGTTAACAGTCCTTTCTGCCGCAAAGCATTGTCAGTGTTTAAAGACCAAAGGCAGGGAATGGCAATTACGCAGGGCTATTTTTGGGCAGGAAT